ATAACTGTAATTTTGCTACTGTTATGAATCGTAATGTAAATATCTGATATGCAGGATGTATTTTCATTGTTACAAATTGAACATAATTAAAGCAGTGATTAATCACAAAAACAATATGTAATTATATATGTATTTTTCGATGGTCTTAAGTGACCCCTGTGAAAGGGTTGTTCGACCCCCAAAGGGGTCGCGACCCACAGGTTGAGAACCGCTGCTTAAGAGTATGTCATGAAGATTTCTATATGGCTCCCTTTTCTTGAGAATTCTGCTTCACAATTTCCAATCACCTGATCTTCTAAACTTCACCTCTGGAGGTTTGTTTCCTCAATTCCATGAAACCACTGTACTCTGCTTAGATCCCCTCTACCTGCTGTGCAGTCTGCAGTGTATCTCCAGGCAGAAAGCTGGGGCTATCACAGAAGCTGCTTCATGTGTTTCTCAGTTGTAAGCTATATGTTGTCCAGTTTTCTAGTTTATGGTTGTGGGATAAATCTGATCACTGTTGCACGACCCACATGGCTCAGTGGTTGAGCGTTGACCTATGAACTAGGAGGTCACAGTTCGATTTCCAGTCAAGGCACATGCCTGGGTTGTAGGCTCCATCCCCAGTGGGGGTGTATAGGAGGCAGCCGATCAGTGATTCTCTCTCATCATTGATGTTTCTAACTCTCTCTACCTCTCCGTTCCTCTCTGAAATCAATAAAAACATATATATACATATACATATACATATACACTGAGTGGCCAGATTATTATGATCACCTGACGTTTGTAGGCAAATTAGCTATAATTTTGCGCTGAAGTTGCTAGGGGGCCAGACCATTCTAAATAGGGAAGCAGGTTGTTCACCACGACAGTAGAAGTGATTTTTTTCTGAAGATATTGGGTAAACAACGCGATTTAACAGCCTTTGAATGTGGGATACACACACACACACACACACACACACACACTCACACTCTGAGTGGCCAGATTATTATGACCACCCCATCAGCACTTCGTTGGGCCACCTTTTGCCTTCAATACTGCGGCGATTCTTCTTGGCATTGACTCCATGAGATGTTGCAAGGTGATGCGAGGAATCTGACACCATGCCTAATGAATAGCGCTGTTCAGTTCTGTGAGATTTGATGCAGTGGTCGGCAAACTGCGGCTCACGAGCCACATGTGGCTCTTTGGCCCCTTGAGTGTGGCTCTTCCACAAGATACCGACTTCTGCGCATGGGCCACGAAGTTTCAATTGCACTGTACGTACGCGCCCGCACGTGGTATTTTGTGGGAGAGCCACACTCAAGGGGCCAAAGAGCCGCATGTGGCTCGCGAGCCGCAGTTTGCCGACCACTGATTTGATGGTTGTGGAACCAGCTGCCTGATGGCTCTTTTAACTTCGTCCCACAAATGCTCAATTGGATTGAGATCTGGTTATTGTGTAGGCCACCTAAGCAAGGTAAAGTCTCCCTCATGTTCTTGAAACCACTCCTGCACAATACGAGCACTGTGGCATGGCGCATTGTCTTGTTGGAAGAAGCCAACTTCATTGGGATACGCCTTCAACATGATAGGATGAACTTGATCAGCAATGATATTTAGGTATGTTGTGCTATTCATGAATTAAAGGGCCCAAATCGTGCCAGGAAAAACATGCCCCCAAACCATAACACTGCCCCCACCAGCTTGAAGGGTTGTACTCATGCATGTGGGGGTGCATGCTTTCATGCTGTTTCTGCCAAATTCTCACTCTGCCATCTGCATGATGCAACTGGAAACGTGATTCATCGGACCACATGACTTTTTTCCAATGCTCGACTGTCCAATCCTTGTGTTCCTGTACGAATTGGAGACATTTTATCTTGGTAACTGCAGACAGCAAAGGTGTTCGAACAGGCCTTCGGCTTCCATATCCCATACGATGCAGTGTATGGCTAAGTTGCCTACGATGTCAGGTGGTCATAATAATCTGGCCACTCAGTGTGTGTGTGTGTGTATCCGTGTATCCATCCCATGTTCAAAGGATGTTAAATCGTGTTGTTTACCCATATCTTCAGAAAAAAAATCACTTCTGTCGTGGTAAACAACCTGCTTCCCTATTTAGAATGGTCTGGCCCTCTAATCCTCAGTCCTACCCTAAGAGGCCCCGCCCCGCGTCTCAGTGTCCGGGTAATCGCTGCAAGCACCTCTGAGAGAAAGCCGCCCTTGAGTTCCGACCGATGCCAGACAGTCCAGTTTCTCCCCGTATGAGTCTGGGTCCCCAGAGACTGGCCCGGAACTGGAGTTCAGAGCAGTCGGGAGCTTGAGACTCCCTCCAGATTCAAAAAGACAGCCGCGTCCTCAGTCGCCAGCCCTTGCCATGTGCGCCTCCGTACCTCTGCACTTTATTTCCGCACCTCCTTTGGGTCTCAGTGTGCTTTTCTCTTTCCTTCTAGTTGTAGAATTTTCACTCAGCCAGCCTTCCTGTGGTTCTGGATGATGTCAGTTTTGTCTTTTAGTTGTATTTTTGAAGTGGTTGTGTGAGGCAGCAATTTCCGGTGTTTACCTATTCCGCCATCTGGTTTTCTAGGATATACTTTTTTGTTTTTTTAATCTGGTCACTGTTACTCCTTAATGGCTGGAAGTAGTCTTGTGGCGGTATTGTTTTCTTTTCCAAAATTTTATTATGATATTATTTAAACATGGTAAAGTTGAATGACTTTACAGTATATTTACCTGCAGTAACATTTTACCACATTTTATCACATATTCATATTTCCATTCATTAATTACATAATTTTTACTTCATTGAAAGTCAGTGGTGTTCCTCTGCTGCATTTCCTGAAAACTGTTAGTTGAATATAGAGGCTTGAACAAATTTCATTTTGAGCTTTGTCAAGGGGAAAAAAAGGCGTCTTGAGAACTTGCATCAGAAGACACATAATGTCTTGTCTCTCTTCTCAGCCTCTAGTGGTCATTGCCTACACCTATTATTATATTAGGAGTTGAAGAATTAGGGGTATTCTACTTGTTTAATTTCTGTTTCGTTTGTTAGCTAGGCTATATCTATACAAAGAAAATAACTTTTGCAATGTTGGTTTAAGCAAAGTCATAATTTATACAGAAAAAGGCATGATTCGTGTTTGTTTCCTTTTGTCCACTAGTTTTCAAAATAACAAGTTGGTTTCCTACTATCTTCTAAGAGCAATCAGTGAAATCTTTGATGGAGGAGGGGGATGTGTATAGATTATGAAGTCATTGGTTTAAACTTACTTGGCTTATTTCAAGGCATCGAAATTTTTTTGATGTTCAGATTGTCATCTTTGATTAGTAGAAGCTCCTCCAGGCTTGCTCTTGAGTCCTTTTGCCTTGGCTGCAGTAGTCTTGAGAGCTTTCTTATTTTTCACTATTAATATTTAATAGGAACCCACACTTTGAATTTTTCTAGGCGGCCTGACCATAATTTGAGCTTTGTGGTTCTCAATAATTTTGCTTTCCCAGGAAACATTTGGCAGTGTCTGTATTCATTTTTGATTGTCACAAAGGGGGAAGAAGGAGAGTGCTACTTGCACCAGGGGCAGAGGCCAGGAATGCTGCTACTTATTTGCAGTGCGCAAGGACAGCCCTTTCTCACAATCCATGAAATTGACATTGCTGGACCTTTATTAACAGACTAGAGGCCCAAACGGGTAGGGTCTCGAGGCCTGGCCGGTGATTGGGCCGATCTGGGCCGTCTGGCTGCCGGATGGGGCCTCCCTTCCCTGGCTGCCGGCTGGGGCCTTCCTTCGTTCCACGCCGCCCTCTGTTGGTCAGCACCCTCTGTTGGTCAGCACCCGTCATAGTGAGCGATCAAACTCCCGGTCGAACTCCTGTGGTGACAATTTGCACATTAGGCTTTTATATAGATAACTTAACAAAGGTCATACAACTAACCTTCACAGGACCTTCTTTGCATGCCATCCATCTATGTGGTTGCAAAAAGTAGGCATTTGAGGAATGTTGATAAAGAGCATATATGTATGTATCCTTCTCCTATACATGATCATAAACATAAACAGCTTTAAAGTGATATCAGTGCTAAAACTAAATTTAGCTCTTGCAGTTGTTACAGAATTTTTGATAGATTTTTGAGGCTACTCTTCTGTCTTTATTATGATACTACCCTTGTTCCTAGCATCCCTTCTCATAGTGCCATTCCACAGGCAAGTTTTTTCTTCTAGGACTGTGTGCTGCCAATTAATTTGGGGGGGGGGTTTGATTTGTTAAATGATAACCTTGTTCTAAAGCAGTGGTTCTCAACCTTGGCTGCACATTAGAATCACCTGGGAATCTTTTTAAAATCCTGATTTCTGGGCCTCATCCTCCGGAAATTCTGTTTCGTTATTATGGGGTGGGGCCACAACATTAGTCCACCAAAGAAACAGAATTTCCGGAGGAGGAGGCCCAGAAATCAGGATTTTAAAAAGATTCCCAGGTGATTCTAATGTGCAGCCAAGGTTGAGAACCACTGTTCTAAAGTGTAGCTAATGAGTTCCATGTAGTCCAGGAAAACTTGTCACCTTATTTGAAACCACCTAAAAGTCTTTTTAGGAAGAGATGTCAGCTGTTGTTGGTTATTAAGGTTCTTAGGTGGATGAAGTTGCTGGAGAGAACAAGTCATGTCCCACCAGGGAATTGGGAGTCCACTATTCACTTTAGCAGATGGTTGAGAACCATGAAAGTGGTAGAAACATGTAGGTTTTGTAAAGTGTTCTTAGAAAGCAGTTTCAATAGCTTTGAAGTATAACAAGTTTGATGCCTAGGTAAGCATTTAGGGCTTCAAAAACCTGGATTTCATCACAAAGAAGCAAGTTTACTTAATTACTTTGAAGGTTCATGTGTTGGAGAAATGGAAGTGTTAACAAACTAATCAAACTTTTGTTATCGGTGTCATATAGGTATCTAGAAAAAGCCTTTTAAATCTTTGGTGTAACGAGTTGGGAGCTGGGTTTTTATCAGACACTCAATTGTCACTTTTGCCTGACTCTTCGCAGGTTTATCGAAACAGCCCAATGCGCTCTGGCTGTGATGTGAATCCCTTCTGTGCACTGTGTGGCTCAAGCAATGCCAACACCATGCCTCCGGAAATCCACTACGAAGCCCCTCTGTTGGAACGCCTTTCCCAGTTGGACTCTTGTGTTCACCCAGTTCTGGCATTTCCAGACGGTAAGAAAGGCCACAGAATATAGTCTAATAAATGAGACTCAAAGGGTTGAAAGTGAAAGGAAGTCAGCCAAGATCTTGGTACAACTCAGATATTATGATTGTATTGCTATCTGTCAACAGTCTTCTCAGAATTTTACAGATAGGATGCAATAGATCCATCAGATTTGCTATAAGAGAAAGATTTCTCCCAGCACTTCAAATGGCTAGGCGGGGCTAAGGACAGTTGCCTCCAGCCACAAGCAAAGTGGTCTGTTATATCCCTGTATATCTTTAAAAATGTATTACCTGTGTGCCCATTATGTAAAATAGGGTGGGCAGCACTATTCTGAGAGAATGTCTTCATATTGGGTGTGTATGTATTACTGGGAGTGGTTACATGACAGCTTTCCAAGGTGTACGTGAGCATAGATCTTCATTGTTAGCATGTACTATTTTTCTAAGACTAACCTACCTGATAAGCCTCTGTGTTTGCCAGTTTTCCTTGTCATAATTGCTCTTCTCCCATTTCACAAAAGAAAATTATTCCTCTTACCCATATTGAGTCTCTTTTCTGTTTTGTTTTTTCATATTAAGTTTCAATGTGGGTCTTGCCCCAGAGTATAAAAACTTTAGGCAGTAGGGACACCAAATGGACCATTTCCAAGAATTCATGGCTCCTGAAGGAGAATCCTGTGGGAATTAAGTAAAAAAGAATTGGAGTAAAAAAATTAATGAAGATGGAGTTACCTTATTTTGTGTAGATTCTGTGTTTGTCATCTTAGAGTAAATATTAAGAGACTAAAGTTAGACTTCATTCTATCTAAAAGTCTGATTGACTAAGGTTTAAAAGAAAGATTTTTCCTTCAGCTAATTAAGCTAAATACATTTCCATGTCAAGGTGTCTATTAAAATATTTCTGAGTTTATGTTTTGTTTTGTTTTTAATTGCATTTCATATGGTACAAGTCCATGAGCAAAAATGTTAAAACCACTGCTCTAGATATCACCTGCAAGAATCCAGTGCTTTCATAATCTGGATTATTTCATTTATTTTCAGATAATCTCAGGATCTGGCTCCAACCTAAAGATATAATAAGCATTTCCTTTCAAATCACTGGTATTTTATCTGTTATGTTATGGCTGTTTTTAAATTTACTTTCCATTACTTAAATTGTAAGCTTCCTGAGGGTAAGGGACCATGTTTTTCTTCCTATTCTGTCCTTTATAACACCTCACAGATATTCTGTGCAATTTTTTTTCGAGGAGGGTAATTGAGATAGGAATATGTTAAAAGATAACTGAAATAGGACTCTGAGGAATGAGAATTATGTGGGATGTAAGGTTTACTTGTTTGTAGGAGAAAAAAATGTTTTAGCATGAGTGGTATGTAAACTTTTTCTTAAAGGGACAGATGCTCAGTAATTTGGATTTTTTGAGCCGTACTATGTTTAGTCTGTGCAGCTTCACAACTCTGCCATAGTAGTACAAAAGCAGCCATAGACAATATATAAACAAATGGTGTGGCTGTGTTATAATAAAACTTTATTTATAAAAACAGTCATTGCCCTAGCTAGCTTGGCTCAGTGGATAGTTGTTGGCCTGCGGAGTGAAGGGTCCCAGGTTCCATTCCAGTCAAGGGCACATTGCCTGGGTTGCGGGCTTGGTCCCCAGTGGAGGGCGTGTGGGAGGCGGCCATTCAATGATACTCTCTCATCATAGATGTTTCTATCTCTCTCTCTCTCTCTCTCTCTCTCTCTCTCTCTCTCTCTCTCTCCCCCTCTCCTTTCTTCTCTTAAATCAATAAAAATACATATATTTTTTTAAAAAACCACAATCATTAATAGGCCCTGGCCAGTGTGGCTCAGTTGGTGAGTGTCATCCCGTGCACCAAAAGGTTGAGGGGTCAATCCCTGGTCAGGGTGCATATGAGAGGCAACTGATTGATGTCTCTCTCTCTCTTTCTCTCTCCATCTCTCCCTGCCTCTCCCTTCTTCTCTAAAATCAGTAAAAGCATTTTTTTAAAAATCATTACTGATATCTGTTCTTTAAATGATGCAATTCTTTTGTTTATTTTGTTAATTCTCATCCGAGGACATTTTTTCCATTGATTTTTAAAGAGAGTGGAAGGGGGAGAGAGAGAGAAACATTGATGTTAGACACATTTATGTGAGGCACATCAATTGGTTACCTCCTGCACCTGCCCTGACCGACCGGGGCGGGGGATCGAGCCTGCAATCGAGGTATGTGCCCTTGACTAGAATCGAACCCGTGGCCCTTCAATCCGTGGGCCTATGCTCTATTCACTGAGCCGAACTGGCTAGGGCTGAATTCTTTCTTAACCACCTAAATTCTGTAACTACTCCCTGACTTGTTATCAAAACTCCCTTTGACTAAAGAAAGGACATGGGATAATATTCTTGCTGCCATTTACTTTTAGCAAGAGTAGAAATGCTTAGAAAACTTGGAGCATATGAATAGTAAGCTAGGCAGGAGTTTAGGTCAGGAACGGTAGAGCTGTAAATTAGCTTAAAACAGAATGAATCGAAGACACTAAAGCATTTTCCTCTGCTTCAAATTCCAGGGTCATTGACTTCTACCTTCTCTTGCCATTGGGTTATTGCTCATACACCTGCTATTTGTATAGCATTTTGTGGTTTAAAAAGCACTTTTCCCACAACCTGCCTTAATTGCTTCTCACAGTAATCTTGTAAGGTGTTGCTTTCAGCTTTCCAGGTTAAGAAACAGGTTTGGAGAGGTAGTAGTTTTATCTCAGGCTAAATGGCTAAAGACTTTAGATGGCTGAAGAATTCAGACTCAGGTCATCTGATGCCTGACCTTCATTTTTCTCTATTCTGTGTTCCTCCCCAGCCAGGTTATTAAGAGAAGTCAGGTTTCTACTCAGTTCCACACTCTGGGTGCAGATGAAGCCACCAGGAAGACTTAGGAACATTTCTCGGATTAGTTACTCTCTCAGGTTTACCATGTTGAATTGTGTAGTCTCATATTTGAAAAAGAAGTCTGAAACCTATACTGGTAGTTATATTCTGATTCCCATAAGGCCTCTTCCATACTCATTGAATATCAACTGATAAACATGGTGAGCATTCCTTTGGCAACAGTATTACCATGTACAGTTTTGAGTTGTCTCCTCCATGTGCCCTTGACTGGAATCGAATAGCTAATAGTTCCCTATTAACTGTCCTTCTGGCTGCATCATATCTGTAGATCTAACCACTGCCCTTATGCTTCCCCAATCCATCCCATTCCAAGCAACTCGAGGTAGCAATGAGGGAGAAAAGAAGGAAAGATCATTTTCCTGCCTGCCTCTATTGTTTCTCCCTTTTTCTCTCTTGTCTTATATACACACAGAGCTCCTAACCATGACACTGGGGTTTGAACAAGAAATGGTCATTAAATTCTCCTTATAGGAAGAGAATTCATATAAAGGAGAATATTTATATATCTTTTACTATACCAAGTTGGATGGATGGACATTTTTGCCTATGGATAAATTAGACTTTCTGTGAGTTGACCTGGGGTCCTAGATACCATATTAATATTGTTCTTATTCAGGTAATTTTGCTTTATCCTAACAACTCCCACATTCAGAATGCAATCTATTTGTAAACTAGAAGATTTGCAGGGCCACAAGTCCACAGGGCACCATCCTATGTGAATAGTTCCCCCTAAAGTATTGAGATTCCCTGTGTATCATTGTGTAGAATAATGAATAACAGTGAAGACTAGCAGCTAGAATAATGCTGTGTAGGTCAGACGTGCATCAGGGTCACCTTTTTGCAACCTCTTCATTTTTAAGTAGAACCAGTTGTGTAGTTTGTGAGGCTAGGAACCAACGGAGGCTCGTAATACTAGATTTCTGTCTCCCTTCTTGACCTCATTCACTCACATTAAGTGTAGCTAGAGATGATAGAATTTGAGGAACTGTAAGCCAGGCAGGAATGTGGAGGCATTAGGGTGTAATCACTTTTTAGTGTTCCAGAAAGAGGGGCTTGTTTCCTTACCACCTTACTTAATCTTGGTTAATCTTTAGCTTGAAATGTAGAGGATATATAACCTTGGGGAAAACCATGTTAGTTAGGTTTGTGTTTAATAAGAGCACCACCTGCTGGCCATGAAGATCTGTGTTTTGAGAGAGCTTGCCAAGACAACTAGCTGTATAGGTGGCTACCACAACTTGCCAGCAGGAGGAGGGAGTGAGCATTGCAAACACCCCAAGAAAGTGTGTTTTGAGAAAATGGTGGAAGAGTATGAGCAAAACCATCAAGTGAATTGACCCTGGTGAGCCTGTAGTCAAGGTCTTTTCATTTTGTTTGCAGAAATAGTAACTTAAGATGTTTGTAATCATTTCTGTTTTCTTGTTACTGACCTGATCAAGTATCTGCAATCTTTATTCTCTAATAATAGCACTTTAATGCCATTGCCTGTGAAGGTATAGAACAGTGATGGCGAACCTATGACACGTGTGTCAGAGGTGACACGCGAACTCATTTTTTTGGTTGATTTTTCTTTGTTAAATGGCATTTAAATATATAAAATAAATATCAAAAATATAAGTCTTTGTTTTACTATGGTTGCAAATATCAAAAAATTTCTATATGTGACACAGCACCAGAGTTAAGTTAGGGTTTTTCAAAATGCTGAGCTCAAAAGGTTCGCCATCACTGCTCTAGAAGAATAGAAACAGGATGTTTATCAGTCTTTCAAACCAATAAAGTTAACCCTTTGCACTCCGCTGTCCCCTCTCAGGGGACATCGGAATTCTAGCATATCACTCGGATGTCCCCTCTCAGGGGACATTGCAGTTTATTAGTGATTACGGGGAATTGAGTTATTTCAACGCAACTTTTTGAGACATGCATGTTTCCCTGAAGTTTTATCTTGAAATGGCACAAGAAATTAAATCAAAATATCATAAAATTACTAAGATATATACAAGAAATGTCAGCGGGTTTTGTGTCGGATTAAACAATAAACTACATATTCCCGATGTGGGACAAAGAAAACGGGACTGCATTGTGTGTTCTAACAGGAAAACACCTGGTGGCAGGCGTCAAACCACTTATTACTGTCAAACATGCACTAATCAGCCTGCAATGCATATTGGGGAGTGTTACAAAACTTATACTGTACAAAATTATAAACAATAAATATTGTTTTTTTTGCAAATATACATTCCTCGATGTCACCCAATTCATATAAGTCCAATATCATTATAATACGTTACTTGGTTCCAAAATTATACTAAATAATACGAGGGTCTGTAAATGCACGTTTCCGCCGCAAAGTAGCGTCGAGTAGCTGGTAGCCAATGTCCAGAATGGTTCGGAGTGCAAAGGGTTAAACATCAGAATATGAACAGAAAACTCCATCGATTTAACAAAAGGTGTTTGGGGTGTATTTTGGTTTTGAACTTGAAGAATAAAAAAGGCCAAAGTGACTTGCTTGTGAATAGGAGAATGACCTTCGTAAGGTTCAGATAAAGAGATATTCTATATCAGCAGTAGCCAACCGGTGGTCCGTGGTGTGATGTTTCCCTGGCTGGTGTGGCTCAATTGGTTGGGGCATTGTCCTGTGCACCCAAGGGTTTGGGGTTCAATCCCTTGCCCTAGGGCACATGCAGGAAGCAACCAGTCAATGTGTCTCTTACACATCCATGTGTCCCCACTCTCCCCCTCTTTTCCACTCTCTAGATACAATGGAAAAAATATTGTGGGGTGAAGATTAAAAACAACAAAAGAATGGTGTGATGTAGATCTTGCCTACTGCGAGAGTCAGAGTTACTGGTGAACTCACCTCACTTCATGAGATAGGAGCCCGTAGGCCAGGTGTTTGGACTAACCTTTAGGTGTTTTGTGTTTCTTGCAGATGTTCCCACAAGCCTGCACTTCCAGAGCATGCTGAAATCTCAGTGGCAGAATAAACCTTTTGACAAAATCAAACCTCCCAAAAAATTTTCACTTAAGCACAGAACACCCATGCCAGGCAGTCTGCCAGATCCAACTCGTAAAGACAGGCACAAGTTGGTCAACTCCTTCTTAACAACAGCCAGTAAGTTTTAGAGGACCAGGGAGTCCTCTAGTTATTTTTCTGTTCCTTTTATAGTCTCACGTTACTGGTTTGCTATAGCAGTATGTTGGGTTTGGGAATTGACTATACAAAGTCAGCTTACAGTCTACTTCTACTTGTCTTGGATTTTTTTCAGATGGACCCAGAATGCTCAGTGAACAGCCATCAGTGGCACAGCATTGGGTCTATCTGTGAACAGGCTCTCTTCTGTAGCCTGGTGTCACATTTCTCTGGTTGAGGACCCTTTGGGCTCCCTAGCCATTTTGCTATTTGCTAGAAGCATCAGCCCCAGAGGATTGTCCTGCTGCCCCAGGTGTCTATATTGGCCTAGAGAGAACTCAAGAGCTCGGAATTTAAATAAGATTAAGAGAAGATATTTCACAGCTCTTTTTCTGTTCCCCTCTTCAGAGCTGTCCCATCACCAAACCCGGCCTGACAGGACCCACAGGCAGCACTTAGACGATGTGGGGTCTGTGCCTGTGGTGGAGCGAGTGACAGCGCCAAAAGCAGAGCGCTTGCCCAACCCACCACCACTCGTGCATGACCCAAACCACAGCAAAATGAGATTGCGAGACCATTCATCTGAGAGAAGTGAAGGTAGGGCCAGGCCCGGCACCTCTACCTGCATTGCACCTGCTCGGGGCTTTCTGGGGCAGCCTGCGCTTCTCTTAATTGCCCCCAGCTTTGTCCTTCACTCTAGGAAGGCAGAGTAGAGGGACCTTACTGCTTCTAAATGCAGGCCACTTCTTACTGCTGCAGCAACCTCTGCCCAGCCCCTTACCAGTTTGCTTCACCTTTTTATCCTCCAGGCTTAGAAAGCATTTTGCCTTTACTGTGTATTTCTGGAATTCCTAGCCTTTGCTAGGAATTTCAAGTAGAGCTGGTTAGAGGTAGCCACATATTCTTCTTTTCTGTTGACTTCTGCAGTGTTGAAGCATCACACAGACTTGAGCAGTTCGAGCTACTTGGCAGCCTCCCACCATTCACCGCACAGTCCTTTGGTGCGACAGCTCTCCACCTCATCAGACACCTCTGCATCCACCAGCTCCAGCCCACAGGTTACAGCCAGCACATCTGTAAGTACCTGCATGAAATTGGCCGCACAGCCCCTCTGCAGTTTCAGCTCATTCAAATGTCTCTTTGGAAGAGTTTAGAGAGTGAATTATGAAGCCCAGGGCAGTTATGAGGACTCAACTCATTTCAGAAAGGAAGGGAGAGAGGGGTAGAAACAATGATGAGAGAGAATCATTGATTGGCTGCCTCCTGCACAGCCCCATACTGGGGATTGAGCCCACAACCCAGGCATGTGCTTTGGACTGGAATCGAACCTGGGACCCTTCAGTCAGCAGGCCAATGCTCTATCCACTGAGCCAAACCAGCTAGGGTGTTATGTGTCTTTTTAAAATCAGAGTGGTGGTATTTGATTTTCAACAGAAAATCAAATTGAGTTGTTTTTCATAATAGAGATGGATCTGTGTTGAGCCATCCATAGAAAGCTTGATGCAGAGAAAAACCCTTAAAGTGGTCAATGACTATTCAAGATTTGTGGGACTAAGTTTCACATAGCACTCAACAGTACCATGGCTCTAACCCTCTTAGTCTAAGAAGTAAGCCAAGAGAAGTGATAGAGGAGCGATACCTATAGGTATTGAAGACATTTGATTTCCCAGCTTTTAACTCTACTGGTGAGTGGAGCTACTGTACCGAGAATAAAGACTGATGTTAGGGTGCCTGGAACGGAAGGGAGAAGGCCCATGCTTTTCCGAGGTACAGAGCAGAATTACAGATCCAGCAGGCCACCCTGGCAGTGCTTACTGGTACACTCACAGTGACCTCATAAGTACTGCATTCTATCCAGAAAGCTGGTCTCATAGCCATTTCAGACACACATTAGAATTTCGTTATAATATTTAGTTCCTCAAGGTGTGCCTCCTTGAATACATCTACCTGTAGTGGCTTTCTGTACTAAAGGGTCCTTTATGTAATAATTATAATAATGGTAATACTAATAATAAAACATTGCCGCTGTAATGTGTCAGTGCTAAGTGTTTTCCACGTGTTCTTTCAGTCAGTTCTATAATACCCTTTGAGATGTAGTTGGTGTTAGGGATTCCCATTTTGTAAACAGGGAAACTAAGGCTTTCCAAAGTTAAATAAATTGCATAAGCAAGGCAATTTGTGATGGTTATAATTGTGATTCAAACCCAGGCCACCTGGCTGCAGAGCTGGCTCTCTTACATTACATACACAGTGTTGACCACTGGGGCACCCCATGGCAGAGGCACCTTATGCGGGTGCTTTGAAACCCCTTCAGAACTGACATCAAGAAACTTCTAAGCCCACAAAATGTGCTCACTAGGTAACTGTGATCAGGTAGGAATTCACTTTGTTCTGTCTTTGCTCTTAATAGTCTCCATGTTCCTTCCTCTTCTTCACCTCCTACATTCCACAGATTTTGTCTAAATAGGTGTATATAGTATCTGTCACAAACTTAGCTACCCATCAGCAAAAGGTAGATAACCAAAAGACCAAAGGATTTCAGAGAGAGTTGAATTCTGATAGAAAATCTGAACTCTGAGATTCAGTATTTCTCACCTGCCAACCCTCCTGTGTCTGGACACTGTTAACTTGGGCCTGGATCATTTGACATTTTTACTTAATATTTATTGAGTATAAATTTTGTACATAACCCTGTGTTAATCATTAAGGCTCTTGCTGCCTTTTTATTTTATTTTTTCTCTAAGAAGCTGGATTTATTTAATAAAGTGAAAGCCCAGATACTTAAAATAAGGTAGAGAAACTAAAGGACATGGAGAGACATTTAGGGGGACAGAGAGCAGGAAGAGGTGTGTATGCTAGTGCTTCACAAAAGATTGTGGATGCACCGGAATCAACTCAATTACTTTAAAAAATATCCCTGAAGATTCTGATTTCATAGTCAGAAAGGGGAGTCTGAGAAATTTTTTTTTTTTAAGCTCTCCCTCTTCATCTTGCTTCTGATGTGCAACCAGGTGTGGGAACCACTATCCATTCCCATCACCTGCTCTCCACCTCTGATTCTAAACAGGAGAAGAGCAGTTATGTTCGACCAAATTAGTATCTGATGGAATGGGGGCGAGTCATTTTAGGGAAAATATATACCTGTTTCTGGCAGCAGTTTCACTTTTTTAAAAAATTTATTTTATAGAGAGAGAAACATCGGTTGGCTGCCTCATGTACGCCCCCTACTAGGGATCAAGCCCGAAACCTGGGCATGTGCCTGACTGGGAATTGAACCAGTGACCTCCTGTTGTATGGGATGACACTCAACACCTGAGCCGTACCAGCCGAGCTCGCATTCATTCTTTTTTTTTTTTTTTTAATATATTTTATTGATTTTTTTACAGAGGGGAAGGGAGAGGGATAGAGAGTTAGAAACATCGATGAGAGAGAAACATCGATCAGCTGCCTCCTACACACCTCCCACTGGGGATGTGCCCGCAACCAAGGTACATGCCCTTGACCGGAATCGAACCTAGGACCTTTCAGTCCACAGGCCGACGCTCTATCCACTGAGCCAAACCGGTTAGGGCTCGCATTCATTCTTGATTAAGATATATGGAAAGCTATCTGTTGGGGCTTCCTTAAGGAACTCTTCTTGTAGTAAGACATACAGTTTCAACAAAGGTATGGCAGTCAATGACAGTCTATTCCAGTGATTTTTCAACCAATATGCTGCAAGAATTTTTAAAACATGCAATACCTGACTATGTACTCCAGGGCACTGACCTCTTTTCCCTTAGATTGTCAAATAAGAAAATGACAACAGCCAACACAACCATATCCATCTGGTGTGACTGAATCAAAATTATACCTTTTTTTGTTGTTCTTATATCAGGAAAAAATATATTCTTGGGTGTGCCACAAAATTTTACTAATTAGTTTACATGTGCCATGAGATAGAAAAGGTTGAAAATTACTGATCTATTTTCACTTGATAGAAAAGGAACTTCAGGTGAGAAAGACATTGTGATAACCTTAAGTCATAGGTAGTAACGCAGCTAAAATCCTTGCCCAGGAAGCGCACTGCCTTTCAACGTTCTCTGAGAATGTCCTGAAATGATGGGGTGAGTCAATTATATGTCACCCTCCAGGAACAGAGTAGAGTGGTTGGTTGTAGGGAACAACCTCTTCCTCATCTTCTTTCACTAACCTCTTCTGGGCCAAGCACACATGGTGGTTTGGGTTTGAATGCAGTCTCTTAGGTGTTTCCAGCTGTATTGTCGCCACGGCAGCACGTTTGTCACCCACTGTTTCCCTCTGGCCTCTCACAGCTCAATTGCCAGTCTCTGTGGCAGGGTGTAGGGTGTTTGCTATCTGGGCACAAACAGCTAGTGGACTTTTTCCTCCATCTACGAAACCAAGCCCTTTGGCTTTATTCCTTCTTTGATCTCCCAGCTGTTGTAGGTGCCCACCTTCTCATTGGATCCTCATTAGTCTTTCCCAAGAGTTTGATCTTCTCAACTTCCCTTTCCAGGAGTGAGCTATAGAACCCAGTCCTCTTCTTCAGTTTCTCTCCGCTCATCTAGAAAGCTCTCAGCTCTTCCCCCAAGAATAATAGCCACAAAGAGGGAAATCACATAGTGGCTGAGCAGATGGTGGGTTCAGATTTAGCTGAAGAGTTCAGATCTATAAGAAGGAGGTGATTTCGTGACATCCAAGGTTAGATGATCTATTGAGCTGGACCTATTTTGGGGGCATCTTTCAGGATAAGGGAAATCATTTTTATAACCCGAAGAGTCACCACTAGGTTTAAGCATTGCTTTTAGGAGCTACTATGAGTCTGAGTCATGGGTGGGGATAAAAAGGGGGAGCAGAAAGGATTTAAAGTGAAAAGAGGTGCCTGGCCGGAGTGGCTCAGTTGGTGGTAGGTGTCCTTCCCATGCACCAGGAGGGTTGCAGGTGCAATTTCCAGTCAGGGCCCATGCCTGGTTGCAGACTCGGCCCCCGGTAGAGGGCATGAAGGAACAGCTGATTGCTGTCTCTATCTCTCTTCCTCTTTGTCTAAAAAAAAATCAATTTAAAATGTGTATTAAAAATTATTTTGAAATAAGGGGGAAGGGTAGTAAAGGTGTTTATGGAGGAATAGGAACCACAACTGACTCAAGGCCCCAGAATACCCACCCTGTGAAATTCACAGACGTCTCTTCACATGAGCCCATGAAGGGGGCGGGTGGACAGTGAGACCTGTGCACAGGAGGCACTTATCAGGACCCACCTAATATTTCTCCTGAGGGCTTTGTTATGGGAGACCATCTCCTAGAAGCAAGCAGCTGCTGCCCAGCCCCCACCCGTGGGACCCAGGTGCCTGTTTATTGGTGATCCTGTTTTAAGTCTCTGGTGTATGCTTTGATGTTTGTAGAATTGTGCCTCTCTTTCAAACTTACCTTTGTCTTACAGCAGCCAATAAGGAGGAGAAGGGGAGAGAGCTCATTTGACATTAACAACATTGTCATCCCAATGTCTGTTGCTGCAACAACCCGTGTAGAGAAACTGCAATACAAGGAAATCCTTACTCCCAGGTAGAGGACTTAAATAAATCGGCTTCTCTCCTTATTCCTTTTTACTTTGTCTCTCGTCACTGAGCTCTGGGTCCTAGCTTTTTTTTTTTTTTTTTTTTTTAAATATATTTTATTGATTTTTTACAGAGAGGAAGGGAGAGAGATAGATAGTTAGAAACATCGATGGGAGAGAAACATCGATCAGCTGCCTCCTGCACATCTCCCACTGGGGATGTGCCTGCAACCCAGGTACATGCCCTTGACCGGAATCTAACCCGGGACCTTTCAGTCCACAGGCCGACGCTCTATCCACTGAGCCAAACCGGTTTCGGCTCTGGGTCCTAGCTTTGAGTTTTGTCTTCTCTTTAAGAGGAAGTTGTGTGTAACAGAAGTGAAATTATTTCTTATTAGTTCTCTCTCATTCCATTATTTAAGTCTAATCCAGTGATTCTCAACCTTCTGGCCCTTTAAATACAGTTCCTCATGTTGTGACCCAACCATAACATTATTTTCGTTGCTACTTCATAACTGTAATGTTGCTACTGTTATGAATCATAATGTAAATATCTGATATGCAGGATGGTCTTAGGCGACCCCTGTGAAAGGGTCGTTCGACCCCCAAAGGGGTCGTGACCCACAGGTTGAGAACCGCTGGTCTAATTAGACCACAGGCCACAAAGTGGTGATAGACGTTATTCTGTTTGACACAACAATGTGTTTTAAAATACTGAATTTGTCGTCAGCAACAAAGCAGGACTTCACATATGAATCTCTGTTTCTAGCTTTTGTTGATATATCAGAAGATTGGGTGACCGTGTATATGCGATCCCATGTGGTAGCAATCTGCTGGTGCTAAATAGTGGTGGTCCCTTTAAATAAGTTCCTTTGTTTTTGTCAGTCTCCGAGCCTGCATTGGGTTTTTAGCCCTTGTGGATATTGAGTGTGGGGCCTCTTTTAGAGGCCTCCAGGGCAAAGGAGGACACGCTCTATAAGAGGGCAGAGCCTGCCAGCAGAAAGCAGTGTCACTCATAGGTACATGGCTCTCATTCTTGCATGGACATGTTTATCCTGCTCTGGAAAATTGCCATCTCATGATTGTCCCTTCTTGGTTTTGCAGCTGGCGGGAGGTCGATTTTCGGTCTCTGAAGGGGAATCCTGACGAAGAGAACGAAGAGGTAATGGCATGGTCATTCTCTCTTAAAGAAGATACACACGCATGGGTGTACACATCCAGACCTGTGGTGTCAAATGCTGCAAGCTCACATTCCTGTTTTGACGGGGAAGAGTCTAGTGTGGGGTGGGGCTGGCTCTAGAATTGACCTACCCATTCTTAAACTCAGCTTTCTGGAAGAAATTGTTCATCATTGAAGCTGCTCTATTGCAGATCGAGGACTTGTCTGATGCAGCCTTCGCCGCCCTGCATGCCAAATGTGAGGAGATGGAGAGGGCTAGGTGGCTGTGGACCACAAGCGTGCCACCCCAGCGGCGGGGCAGCAGGTGATGCGACAGGGAATTTGGGCCGTGTCCATGGAATTGCCACTGCATCTCAATTGCTTTTGCTCTTCATATTCAGCCATTGGCAGTAGCCGAGAGTACAGACGTTCCTTGGTGTTTGTTGCAACCAGTGAGAGTACAAGCAGTCAGACTCTGGTCTCCTGAAAAGCAGGCTGGCTGACATTTGGGGGCCTCACCACACACTGTCTTTCCTTTGGACAGTGGAGCATGGTTGGGTGGTCGTGCTCAAAAGAACTGCCCCACCTTATCTCCAGTTATTGTTCACAGTTGCAGAAGCCCTCGGGATTCTCAACTAGAAAGATTTAGATTCGATTTTGCTCTTTCCTTTGACTATAATTTTCCGAGTCTGAACTAATTGCCCTTCCCCTGTGAGTTCTAGGCATTGGGCAGGGATTAGCGCTGGCATTGTTCAGCCCTGGCTTTCTTTTGGGATGACAGTTCCAGATGTCATATTGTGCAGCCACCTTTGTACTCGGTGGTGGGAGGACATGAGGGGATTTGTGATTCCTGGGAAAGAACTGTTGGTGTTAGTCTACCTTGGCTCCTCTGGTGGGACACTTGCTTTCATGCCTCTCCAGAACCCTCCTCCCCCACCCCCCAATAATATACTAGAAATTCCCTTTACTCAGGCACTCACATTTGCACTTCTTGGTGTACAGGTCTTACAGGTCATCAGACGGCCGGACAACCCCCCAGCTGGGCAGTGCCAACCCCTCCACCCCCCAACCCCCCTCTCCTGATGTCAGTAGTAGCCACTCTTTGTCGGAGTTCTCCCACGGTCAGTCCCCCAGGAGCCCCATCAGCCCGGAACTGCACTCGGCCCCCCTCACCCCTGTGGCACGGGACACTCTACGACACCTAGCCAGTGACGACACCCGTTGTTCCACGCCAGAGCTGGGGCTGGACGAGCAGGTAAGGGATGCTGCCTTTGCATGGGTTGGCAAGTGGGTCGTGAGATGGGGAAGGGGCAGTACTGCTGAAGATGGATCTTCATGTCATGACTCCCTCCCATTGTGAAGGGGAGGAGGGGCTGCACTTGAAATTGACCTTCTGAAGGCACAATGGAACTGGCCATGGTTAAAAGGGCGCCCACTCTGTGAGGGGTCTTCCCAAACCACCCAGGAACTCGAGAGAGACTGGTCAGGGACTCTAGTCCACACGTGTTGGGGCAGGAGGCAGCTGGTACTGGGTGCTCACCAAGGCAACTTGTCTGCCCACAGTCTGTCCAGCCATGGGAGCGGCGAACCTTCCCCCTGGCCTACAGTCCCCAAGCAGAGTGTGAGGACCAACTGGATGCGCAGGAACGGGCAGCTCGCTGCACTCGGCGCACCTCAGGCAGCAAGACTGGTCGAGAGACAGAGGTGGCGCCCACCTCACCTCCCGTTGTCCCCCTCAAGAGTCGGCATCTAGCAGCAACAGTCACAGCTCAGCGTCCAACTCACAGATGAGCGGGAGACGAGAATCTAAAGACTCACTAACTATTGGCATTAAAGCTTGAGAAATCTCTGCGTTTGATATTCAAACATCATATGCCGGAAATTTTCACAGTTTTTAGTGAATTTAAGGAATTTAGATTCTACTTTGGTATTTTTTTTTTCTCATTTTGATTTTTGTTTTGTTTTGGTTTTGGTTTCCATGTTTTGTTGTCACACACCTGAGCACTTCCTCCAGCTGGCAAACAGAAGTTCAGGATAAGACCCTGCGGCCTGGTCCTGGCACATCCTCTGCACTGTTGAATCACTGGACTTAGCGGCGTTTGATGACCACCTCTCCCTCGCACCTGTGGGCAGGGTGGGACAGCCAAGTGGGCAGAGGGAATGGAAAGCTCCAGCTCAGTGTTGCCACCGTAGGTTAGGGTGGGAGAGCAGCTCGCTCTGGGCTCTTACCCCTCCCCACTCCTCCGCTCCCCTCCCACCTGTGGCTTGGCTCAGCTCCGGCCCTCCTGGCTGGGTCTCCCTTGGCCATCTGTGCTGGAGCACCCGCGCCAGAGCCTCAGCTGTAACTGCCAGCTAGGATGGCTTCCCCTGTCACCCAGATCTCGGAGTCTGATGTGGGGTTTCCTCTGCATTTGGTCATCTCTGTATTGACTCCTTAACTGCAGTTAACCTGGCTGTGGCTGCTCAGGTCCCCATCCTGCCCCTTCGTGCCCTCTTGTCTGCTCCCCATGCCATATACATACCTACGCACACCAGTTCTTCCACTCGGACTTTTTTACCCTCTCCTGTTCCATGAAGCTAGAGTTAGGACTACTTAACCTCTATTCCCACCTCTGCAAACTAGGGGTCTGGGAAGTGAGCAGCCATTTCTTGTATGTAATTCTGTTTTCTCCGGCTGATTCATTCAGTCGTTTCCTTCCCCCTCCAGTTCCCTGTCAGTGTCAGTTCGGCCCTTCCTCTTTTAAGTTTCCCTTTCCTGTGGAACATTGTCTCGTCCCAGCTGTGGTTCCCATCGCTCCCCCGTGATCACTCCCTGGTTGTTAACCTTGTGCCTGTCTCATGTATGATCACATTACCAAAAGGGGCAATAAGGACTTTTTTTTTTTTTTTTGCCATTTTGTAATCATATAAAAATAGTAAGCAAACTGCTTAATGGTTGGGGTTTTTTCACAATTTTCAACATTAGTGATTCTTTTTGATTCTGTTTGCAAGTTAAAGGGTTTGTCATTGTTTCTTTAAAAAAACAATAATGCACCATATCCCTATGCATAAAGTGCTTCTTCTATTTATAAGGTTGAAAATTCTGAATAACCCTTTTAGCATTGTAAAAAAAAAAAAAAACAAAAACAAAAATGGAAAAAAAAAACCTTGTATTTTGTAAATATTTTCTTTTTCTGCTTTGAGCTGTGTATTGGCAGCGAAACATGTAGCTGTCTTTGTTCTATAGAAATGCTTTTCTTCAGAGAAGCTGATCTTTGTTAATGTCTTGATTCTGTTCGCAAAGCACAGACTAGTGCTTAAAAAAAAAGGAAGGAAAAAATGAAAAAAATAATAAAAAAAAGTTACAGAATGTTGTGTGCTGGGCCTTTTTTGACACTTGGACATGGTATTGCTGCACAGTTCTCTGGTGTCCTGACTTGCTGTGGACTTTGGGATGTCTCTATTCTGTCGTATGGGCCCCTCGCAGGGTCATCTTATCACCAGAAAGCGGGTGGGGCCAGTGAGAACATATACTTTGTATGGAGCCTGAGCTGCTTACCTGCTGCCTGAGATTATAGTATCTGAGGAGGCTAGTGCTTGATTTTCTTTCTATAAAGATGAGTAAGTGGGTGGGCCTGTTCTTTATTGTTTTTTTCCTTTTCATGGCAGTCAAGTTGAAACAGCCAATGAGCTGCCTATCCTGGTCCTGGAAGCAGCAGTTGGCGAGGTCACGTTTCTCTGTGGCCGCCCTGTTGCTGCTCCTGTAGTTACAGTTGCGATCTCTACTTCAGCTTCTGTCTGCAGTGGCTAAGGAAAAGCTGAGCAAAGTCATATTTTGAAACTTGGAAAATCTAAGGGCTCCATGTTAAGACCTTGAACTGATTACTGAGGAACAATAAGATGATGGTTTGTTTTGTTTATTGTTTCCCTTTGTGACATTGCTAGGGGTTGGCTGATATCCCTGTTTTGATTTAGCAGACCTGTTCCCCAGTACTGCTCCCAAAAGGAGGAAGGCAGCTCTGTAAGCCTGCAAGAGAGCTAAGCCATTCTTTCAGCTGATTGGCTGGTGTTCTGCTTCAGCCCCAGGCCTCGAGGCTCATTTCCAGGGAAGGAAACATCTCATATACCAACCCCAGTCTTTTCAGGGTTGAAATCACTAGAATGGGTCAGCCCCAAGGGTATTGACCAGGACCTTTGTGAGCACCAGAGTGAGACAGTCAACCTGAAAATGAAAAGGCTGAGAACTCTTCTTCCACCTTCTGGGCCCTAGAGAGAGTTGGTAAACCCTCATGGCCCAGTTTTAACAACATTGTCTTTCCCTATTCGGAGCTAAGTTCTCCAAAGCTGAAAAAAGACTTGAAAATCATACATCCCATAGCATTTCTTTGTCTTTTGAATTTATGCACATAGACCTCATTTAATCAGTAATAACTTTATTTCCAAATTCACTTTTACAGCAACAGTCCGTGTATATCATTTGTTAAAACACACAATACACCATATGGACATTCACAGACAGGAAGCTAAGCTAAGATTGTTTCCCCCCACCCCACCCCCCACCCTTAAAATTACTGAAGAAATCATGGGACTTGCAAGTGTCAGAAATTGCCCTGCCAGACACTGCAAATTCATGGGCTAAGTCCATTAGGAGGTGAGCCTGGGTCAGTGCCCAGGACAACCCTTTTCAAAACTGAAGAGCAACTAGAAGTCTCATGAAGCCACGGATCTATAGATGGGACACAGTGACCTCCATCTTTACCCTCATCCCTGCCTCTTGGGGGACAAAGATAAAAGAGGGTGAAGGAAAAGATCTTGGCAGCTGCTAGATACAGGCTGCATGTCCAGAGTCAGTGGGAAAAGTGACACAGAGGTGCCCACGGCTTACAGCAAAGTTTGCCAGGGTCTGGGAGGCACGATTGTGGGCTTGGGGCCCAGCAAGAGACCAGAGCAACCACATCTCCAGATTCCTCCACAAGCCGCACCGCCTGCACCTGGCTGGGAAGGACATGGGAAGCAGCTGGCAGCTACTGCACTTGGGAATCCAGTCGGTGAAAAGGCGGCACCCCCAGGACCTCTAGCAAATGCGGTTGAAATGGTGAAGAAAAGGGTTACAAGGAGGTTTAACTGCTGCACTCCAAGACTTCCCCTTGCCCATGGTAACTATCTTACAGGTTCCTCCCCCCAACCCCTATAGCACAACAAGCAATCGCAAACAGGATACAGTCTCACCATTGAAGTCAATTTAAATGGAACTATTGATAGAATGGAGAGCTTGAAGGAACCAGGCATAGAGCATACCCAGCCCACCCAAGGGACATTGACTGGAGAGAGGGAATGGGGAGAACTCAGCCCTGGGGGATTGTCCTCATTTAAGGTCACAAGCCAGCACCCCTTGGTCTCTCCTCCCCAACACTGACCTGATCACCCTAAACCATAATTTTGAGGCTGACCCCAAGCAGCCCACCCTCCCAGGGAGATTCCAGGGCCCTCGGAGTCAGGTGTCAGAGAACGGCACAGAACTACAGGAAGAGGAGATGCAGCGCATTAGTGGCAGTGATGAGGGGCCACCTCTAACAGCTACCGGTCCTTTAAACCACATTTCCTTTTTCTTTCTCAGAACCCCAAAAGCAGCTGGGACTCGCAGGACAGCCGAAAGCTCTGACTGCAAATGAAGCCTCCAGCCCAGTTGCCTTCAACTATCTAAACCGGAAGTGGCAGAACCGGTCCCGAGGCTGAATATCTTTAAGCGGCCATTTCCACAGAGGCTGCTTCCCTTTCCCCGAGGCAGCAGACGGACTCCTGCAAGGTCCGCGGGGCTCTGGCCAGGCTTCGGGAATGGTGTGGGAATGGTGTCTCCTGGCGCGTCATCCTTCCTCTGCCTGGCAGCTGTGGCGGCAAGGCCCTGGGACCTTTCCCCAGCTGGCGCTGGCTTCATCTTCCTGGTGATGCAGGGCTGCTGTGGGGCTTCTCCAGGCTGTGGCCAGAGAGGGCATTTTCACGCTGCAAGCCAAGCCAGCCCAAGACACAGCTCTGCCTGGCAAAGGGAAGCCCGGGGTGGGGAGGGCACCAGCTTCCTTGGTCCTCGTCCTGTGCGTCAGGCCTTCTTCCAGCCGAGGGTCCTCCGCTGTCAGAATCTGCGCTCTGCTGGTCCCAGATGCTGAAGGAAACCTCTCAGGAGGCCAAGCAGGGGAGAGCCACACTGGCCTGGGGTCCCAGCGCAGGGGAGAGCGATCCAGGACCCCCACCGGGTGGGTTAGAAACCTCTTTACAAGCATTTCAAGATACATGCGTCCTTTTTTTTTTTCTTTTCTTTTCACTATCATAGTCACTCAGGTGAATCCAAGCATAAACAGACAAATCTGACGACAACGCGACAGGTGCAGACGGGGAGGGAAAGGCGACATCTATGTATATGTTCAGCTGCTCCAGTGGACAGACAGCATTGCTTCCAGCTGGGACGGGGAGAACCATTTCCAAGTGGGCGTGTCCCCTTGTGGGGTGTGGAGGGCTGACTATATGCACTTGAGGCTGAGCAGCGTGGGGCGCTCTGCGAGGCTGGCAGTCAGAGGCTGGGGTGGAGGTGAGGGGCAGGGAACGTGGTCCCTCCCGGGGGGCCTGCCTGTCCTGGTGCCATCTCTGACAACCAGGACATCCAACCTGCTGCAGCTCAGCACAGGAAGGGGCAGGCCTTCTGGGAGGGAAAGGCTCTCCAAGTCCACGTCCAGGGTCACTGCTGAGCCCCATCCTGGCCTTGCCAAGCCCCACGTCTGGATGGGAGGTAAGGCCATCGGGTTCATCATGAGGGACAGGCCAGTTGGATGAGTGTAACTTAGACCTAGAAACCGAGGTCCCACCTTGTGCCCGGACTTTGCCTTCCCTTGATTTCACCCCTTAGTTAAGACTAGGTGCCTCCCACATCCAAACAATGTGAACTACTGAGAAGGGTGGTGAGGCTGGGGACTCGGGACAGTGTGACATGAGGGGTACAGGCAGTGACTGGGCTCCACCCAGCAGACACAGGGTGTGGTGGGGGCAGGCAGCTGGCTGCAGTGGGGTGGGAGGAACAGGAGGCTCAGGACCCCCTTCTGCCCCCCCCCCCCCCCCCCGCCCCCGGCACACTCTAGAGATGCCAGCGGCCCAGGCTTGGGAACAGGCGGGTGTCCCACAAGAGGCACAGGTCCTTACAAGAGAACTGGTTAGCCCTAAAGTCCCAGATCAGTGAGGTGGCCAAAATCGTGGCTGCACTTCCAACCTTCAGAACGCAATTGAACAGAGTGTCCCTGGGGTGGAGGGAAGCCCTTCAGGTCAGGACTGCCCCGCCCCGCCCCTGCAGGGGGGACAGAGGCCGGAGGCCAGTCTTCTCTAAGGAAGTCACCCACCGGCTGCCAGCCACCCTCCCGCCAGCCAGCCTTCTCCTGCCAGGCAGGTGGGAGGGACTGGAGCCCTTTTCCACAGGCTGCCTGCCCTGCCCTGCCCTGCCCTGCCCTGCCCTGCCCTTGAGGGAGGCACACCCACCTGCACAGACCCTGGTCACCAGCCGCAGGAGGCCCCAGTGGAGGCTGCTTGTGCTCCCTGCTGCCCTTCCATAGGGAGCAGGTCTCCTCTCCCTCGTACTCTTACCTCCCCCCTCCCTCTCTCCCGCTCCCCTGCCCACCCCTGCCTCAGCCTCTCCTGTGTCTCCCCCCACCCCTACCTGTCCAGCTCACACCAACATACCAAGTTGCAAATCCTTTGTTGCTGCCACAGCCTCTGTGACATCCCCAGGATGGGGCCAGAGGGCGCCCCCAGGCCCCTGAAAACCCCAGCAGCACCTTTCAGAGCCTGACTTCCTTCCTCTTCTACTCAGAGGGGGGAAAAAAGAATCAAACGGAAGTGCCCAAGGAAATGTTGGGTGTGGCCATCTTTAACGTGTTTTTAAAAACATTTTATTATTCTTAGCCCACCCATCAATTTGGAAAGATGGAATTGGCTCTTATTCCCATCACTGATTTTGAAGTCCCGAGCCAGAGCCGAGCGACAAAAGCAGGTTAAGTGATTAACCGATTACCCGATCTGTGAGGAGCAGCTGGGGGCAGAGGGCGAGGGGCCAGGTCATTACTCTTTTTTTTTTTCCACACTCTCTCACTCTCTTCTCTCCACGATCACTGACCGCCCCGGGGGCCTGATCACAAACCCTGCTTGGCCAGGGAGGCGGACACTTCGTCAGCTAGCGTGGCGAGCTGGGGCGAGTCTACCATGTCGATGCTGCCCGTGGAGGACACGTTGCTGAGGTGCCGCGGAGACGTGTCCCCGGACACCACGGGCGACTTGTACACGATCTCCGCCCCGTGGTCCGTCTTGGCTTTGGCGTTCTCACGGAAGGTCAGCTTGTGGGTTTCGATCTGCGAGACAGGAGGGGAGGGAGGCTGAGAGGAAGAGCCGGAGAAAGGGGCACCGGCCCTGCCAATCTGGCCCGGGTGCGAGGGCGCCGACGAAGGGGTGGCAGCTGTGGGTTCATCATTTCCAATAGCAAACACTTGTGCAGTTCTTCCCTCCTGCCTCCCGGCGACCCTGTGCCCCTCTCCAGAGGCAGCGGCCGCCCTGTGTCTTGTGGACCCTTACAGACGTATCCCGCACGGGCGTATGTGTGAACACGTACAAAATGCATGTGCCCGTCTATTTTAATACGTAGGTAACAATATGCACTGACTCGGCCCTGTACTTTGGTTTGTAGACTTAAACCTTCTGCTGTCAGCGCTAGTTCCCACGGGCTTGCTGGTGGCTGCCTGGCATTCCACCAGGGCCGATGTACCCACTGCATCTGCCCCCCTGGGGGTGGCTGTTTCAGCTGTTCCAGGCTTTTGCTGTGACAAAGAATGCTGTGTGTGAATAACCTTGGATGACCTTGAACACACAGCATTTCACACCCTGTAAGCGTGTCCTACCAGTGGAGTTGCTAGCAGGTCCTAAGGCGTGCGCGTGCGCGTGCGCATTCTATCCCGACATGCCGCCCAGTTGCAATGCAAGTGCTGAAGTTCGCCGGAGAAGACTAAGGGGCGTCCCCAGAGCCACAGCTGCCCTCCAGGGGCCACGCACACCCCTCCCCTTTGCCAGCGACTGATGAGTCTGGAGGTGGCGGCAGCTGTGGGCAGCACTGATGGGTGTGACAAAGCCCTTTTATAAAAGTAGAGAAACGGTGGCGTAGTCTGCAGCCCCGGAGGGCAGAGCGCCAGTGGTACCTGGGAAACTCAGGAAGCGTTAGCCAGAGAGGCAAGTGGCACAGTGATTCCTGATGAGCCCTGAAGTGATGGCCGCAGTTGATTCTCAACCTCTCGGGGGTCCTAAGACCGCTCCGAGTGTCTGATGAAACCACAGAAACACACACAGTTTCTCCCGTGGGCCCAGGTGAAGGGCCCCTACCGCATGGGCTTGCGTGTGGCTGTAGAGAGACTAGGCTCCCATCGAAGCCATATATGTGCTGATTTTGTTCATTTGGGGCCAGCGCTTTGACCAAAGGACTCTTCCAAATTTCTGTAGTGGAAGGGCCTTTTTCACATAAGTTTTGATAAGAACATTCATGTTTTTTAAAAGCTTTGTTCTTGAGAAGAAATGACAGGGTCCCAGTAATGACCCCAAATCCCCCAAACTGAAGGGAACTCAGGCAAGACCCAGCGACTAGAAACGGCCGGGACTGCGAGGTCCTTGTCCAGCGGCCTCCCCGGGGGCACGCCCTGGCAGCGGCTTGGCTGAACTCGGGGTTTCACCGTCACTGTTTTGCTCTAACTGCCTGGTGACCCATCTAGAAAGTGAGGTTCTGTCCCCAGGACTTGTCTTTGGTGCCTGGGCTGGCTTGGGGATGGCTGCTGCCTTTTGTGGCTGCTTGGCAGCCACGGGGCCTCGGACAGCGGCTCTCACATTTGCACCAAAGCAGAGGTCGCCAACCTTTCGGCTCTCACCACGGACCATCAGTTTTAAAACCTCCAGGTGTCCAGACCACACCTGTGACCAGTCAGCATTTCCAGGGTGGGGCCCCGGCTCCAGTCCCATCTCGCCCCCAGGTGGCTGCAGCGGGCAGCTAAGGCGAGCCCGCTGTCCCTGGGGGCTGCTGAGGACCACCTCGAGCCAGTCCCCGCGGGGCCTCCAGCTCCCTCCCCTGGAAGCCGGGGCCAACAGCCTCCCCCGGCCCTGCCCCCTTTACCTTTTTATTCCCTCCCCCAGGGACGTGGGTGATATTATCCAGAGACCCGATCTTCGACTGGACCCTGTCCTTGAAGTCCAGCTTCTCGGATTTGACTTCCACCTGGCCGCCACCTGGAACACAGCACGCACAGCGCCGCCAATTAGCTCGGTTTCGAGAGTCATTCCCAGGAACACCGGCTGCTGGGAGCAGCGAGGACGCGCCTTCCCTTAGAAAGCGGCTGGGGCACAAGGCAGTCCTTCTAAAGGGCTGGACAGCAGTTGGCTTCATCCCTCCCACCAAGGCATGCATCAATATTGACTGAGAAAACTCTTCCTCCTGAGATAATGCAAAGGTGAGTGCAGCTGGGCCTGGGAGAAGCTGCTCCCAGTTCTAACTGGATGGCTTCCAGGCAGGGAAGGCGTCTGTGTCAACATCCTGGACGCTGCAGCCCTGCACGACCTTGGCATTAAACTGCAGGCAAAATGCACCCCCAATAAAGAAGGGCCCTGGCCCTCCTGCCTCCTCAGACGCTCGATGCCACCCACAGCGGAGACATGGGCTGAGGGCGAGAGAAAGGACAGCTGACCCTTGAACAACACAGGTTTGAACTGCATGGGTCCACTTACACGAAGATTTCTTTCACTAAATACTGTGTCTGTTGCTTATGATTTTCTTTGTAACGTTATCTTTTCTCTAGTTTATTGTAATAGCACAGTATTTCATACACGGGACATGCAGAATAGGCACTAACTAACTGCATGTGTTTGACTGCACAGTGGTTGGCACCCGACCCCCTACGTGGTTCCAGGGTCAGCTAGACATGACTTGCTTGGGTGGGACAAAGCCGCCCAAGAAAGCTGCTCCCAGTGGGTGACCCCGTGGAGGGTAGTTCTCCCCGGGAGAGAGACTCCCACAAAATGCCCAAGGGAGCCCGGGGACAATGAGGCCTTCTGCACAGGCTTCTGAGGCCTCTCCCCGCACAGGATGGGTTCCGGAGGGACCTCTGCCCTGAGAGCCTGGCACGGCAGAGCCGCACTCTGAACCCGGCGGGAGGTGGCATCTAGCACTGTGTTCAACGTGGTAACCACCAGCCACACGGCCACTTCAGTGTGTGGGTTTTTAATTGAATTTATTGGGTGACATTGGTTCATAAAACCATACAGGTTCCAAGTGCACACTCATCGTGTGCTCATCGCCCAAAGTAACGTCTCTTTGTTCACATTTGTCCCCCCCTCACTTTGCCCACTTCCACCCCCCTTTCCCTCTGGCTATCACTATACTCTTGTCTGTGTCTGTGTGTTATCTATATACTAGAGGCCCAGTGCATGAAATCATGCATGGGTAGGGTCCCCAGCGGCTATGGGGCAGGGGGAGGGGTGCCTCCCTTCCCCCCAGCGCCTGCCCCATTGCCAACGCCCGCCATGTTTCGTGCCACCCCCTGGTGGTCAGCGCACATCTAACTCTGGGTCAGTCAACTCCTGCCCGTAGGGACAATTTGCATATTAGCCTTTTATTATATATGTATATATGTGTGTATAAATATATATATTTTTTTACTTAACTGCTTCACATTTTTTCATCCAGCCCCCCAATCCCCTCCTCTGACAGCAGCTGTCAGTCTGTTCCATGTATCTATGCCTCTGTTTCTATTGTGTTTATTAAATTATTTTGTTCATTAGAGTTCACATGTAAGTGAAATCATATGATACTTGTCTTTCTCTGACTGGCTTATTTCACTTAGCATAATGCTCTCCAGGTCCATCCATATTGTTGCAAAGGGTAAGATTTCCTTCTTCTTTATGGCTGAGCAGTATTCCATTGTGCAAATGTACTTTTAAATTTTAATAAAATTCAGCTCCTCAACTGCCCTGGCCACGTTTCATATGCTCAACAGCCACACGTGGTCAGTGGCCTCGACACTGGACATCACAGGTGTACAGTATTCGCAGCATCGCAGCAAGCTCTGTGGGTCTCACTGGTTTCTTTTGGAGAGGGGTGCAGGGGAGGGGGATGGTAAGGCGCCAACAGTATCATTTTCTGTTCAAAGTCACAGAGGGGACACAGCAATGGCCCAGGGTCCCATGTTGCAGTTTGTGCAGTTGGTGAAGTGTCCCCCATGTTGGCTGGGGACCAAGCTGGGACATCCATAGAGCCGAGCTTCAGGGGCCAGACCAGGCCGCTCCCCAGCTCTCGAGGTCCGCGTGCAGCCTGCGTGGAGCACTACGAGCCATCGGCTAGGCCAGTGGTTCTCAACCTTGGCTGCACATTAGAATCACCTGGGAATCTTTTTAAAATCCTGATTTCTGGGCCTCATCCTCCAGAAATTGTTTTTCTTTGTTACTAATGTTGTGGCCTCACCCCATAGCCACTAGGGTGTAGGATCAGCATCTGCCCTCCCTGCTCAGGGACGAGATAGGACAGCCCCTTCCACCCTCAACACTCTCCATGGCCCATCCCATCGCTGCTTCCCAGCCACCCCGGGAGCAGGCACCCCCCCCCACCCCGCCCCAGGCCCTCCCCTCCCCCCCAGTTCGCAAAGGCTACCTGGCTTGTGATGGATGTTGCCTAATGAGCCGCACTTGGAGGTCACCTTGCTCAGGTCCACGGGTTTGTAGACTATTTGCACCTGGAGGTGAGAGGGGCGGGCAGAGAATAAGTGGGGTTACTTTCCGGGCGGAGCACAATGAGAAGCAGCTGTGGGCATCCAGGCGCGGCTCGACCAGGCCTGTCTGCCGAGGCCCAGCCTGGGTGGAAACGTGTCCACCCTGCCCCCAGGGAGCCGGGTCTGCACCAGTGACTGGGGGTGAAGACGCTCCAGTCCCCAGGACAAGGACCCTCGGGGCAAACAGGGTCCTTCTCTCTGTCCCTGAGCAGGGCCCATGCCATCTGCTTAGCAAACACACGTAGAGCAGCCACTCCTGACGCGACACAGACATCACATTCAGCGAGGACACAGAGGAGGAAGGCCAGTGCGACCCAGTGTGCAGCATTGGGAAAGCGAGAGCGTATCTGCTGGGCCTCAAAGAGGAGAGGGCCTTGGGGGTGGAGAGGGGGCTTTCTCCCAGGAGAAGCTTCCAGAAACCCCAGCACACCCACAGCAAGAGCAATGACGGCCAGTGAGCAGCCGTGGGGAGACCCGGACGGAAGAGCCAGTTGGCACCTGAGTGTCCTGGAAAGTGACACTGGCAGGGGGCAGGCGGCCCAGCAGACACCCCCAGGGTTAGTGTCTCGGAGAGCAGACGCCCACACACCCGCCGAGGCCCAGGGCTTCCCCTTGGCCCCGGTCCACCCTGTGGCCGGCCACACTGACATCCTCCCCAGGGGGACGGTGGCCCCTGTACGGCCCCCTGATCTCAGCCCAAGAGCCAGCTTCCCTGGGGGGGCTCCCCAGGGGGCTCCTGGAGGAAGTCCCACAAAGCCATGGCTGTGAGGGTCCCAGATGGTCACCGAGGGACCTTCCCAGCAGTGACCTTGTGTGAGGTCACCAGAGGGTGCAGGAGGTGTCACCCAGGGGACTCCCGCTTCCTGCCTGGAGAAGGGTACCCGAGGGAGATGGCCTGGTGCCTGAGGATGGGTTAACCAGGGGCACCAGGAAAAGAGGAGAGGTTTCTCCTTGGGTCAGAATCGTCTGGAACAACCCTTTTCTCAGTTACTCAGAATCGCCCTGGCGTGTGCCCTCAGTCCATGGAGAGTTGATTGAGGCCGACAGGTGGGCCTGGGCTGTGTGGCCGTGTGTGGTGTGGGGCGGGAGGCACAGGGCTGGCAGCCTGCACCTCGAGGGGGTGGGTAATGAATGACTCTGAGAACAGGCCTGGGAGGGAGCTGGGCTCTGGGTGGGCACCCAGGAGGTGGTCAAGGAGCTTTGGGGACTCGTCCTGGAGGGAGGGGGCGTGACCCGGCTTCCTGCTCTTCCCTGCAGCCTGGATGGGCAGCCACCTCCAGACCGGAGAGCAGAGGGCAGGCCAGAGGCCGGAGCCCAGGCTGGGGGTCCAGGGCCCCCGAATCACCTGAGGTGACACTGTGCAGCCACCTTCCCCCAGAGGAGCTTTCTTCGAAGGCTCCTCCTGCAAACAAGCCTCAGGCGAGGACCAAGCACAGCCTGGCCGGCCGGGGCGCCCGCGGGCCTCTGCTAGGCTAACCCACAGGCCCGCAGGGAGTGCGGGACAGACAGGCGGTGCCCGAGGAAGTTCCTCCGTGTTCTGTGACTGCCCGCAGCAGTGGGAGGTACCCTCTCCTCCTGCAGGACCTGCCTCAGCCTTGCCAGCACGGCCTCCCACCAGCTGACCAGACACAAGTTAAACCAGAAAGCACATGCCTCCTCCTCTGGCCGGAGACCAGTGTGAGGCAAAGCCAGCGAACCAGGAGTCGGAGCTAAAGCAGCAACGTGACCAGGGCTGGGGCGGGTGGGGGGCCAGGGGCAGGCGAGCAGGGACTGGGGAGACAGCAGCACTGGTGAGGAAGCGTTCATGAGCGCCATGCAGCAGCCGCGTGGTGAGCGCCCATCCCGGGACAGCAGGGCTGGGCAGAGCGGGCAGCGCTCAGGCGGGGCAGCGGCACATTGCAAGAATAAACCCTCGGCTGGATGCAGACGACGGCGGCCCAGGCTGGGCATTTTCTGGAGGGAGAGCCCCTTGGGGCATCGCCACCATCCTCGGCTGCCAGCCAGGAGCGGAGCCTGCTCTCAGAAACCTCCTCTCCCCAGGAGTGGGCCGCAGGGGTCTGGAACCTCCTGCTCCCCGTGTTAGGCAGGGGCAGTGGGGGAGCCTCAGGCTGAGTTTGCACCCACAGAGGACAGCAGGAGGGCAGCAGCAGAGCTGGCCAAGTGGGGAGGTGAGGGTGCAGCCCCAGGTCTCGGGGACACATGCAGTGGGGATGCAAGGAGTCCCCAGAGGCGTTTGGAGGCAGCCGGATTTAAAAGGGCCCAAAGCAATACAATAAATAATCAAACGGGCCCAAAGCGGTGTTTCCCTGTCTCCCGGGGCCGCAGATGGTCCGCTGGGGCCTTCTGTTGGGCTCCTTTGGATCTGAGCCTCTGCCAGGGGATGGAGCTGGTTTGAACATGGGCCAGAGGCTGAGGCACTGGCTCACCCCCTGCAAGTGCAGGAGACAAACGAGGCCAGAGACCGGACTCGGCTTGCTCTGAGGTAGAACAGTGCGACCTTTGTGTCCACTTGTCAGGACAGGGCCAGCTGTCCACAGTGGAACCCCTCAAAGTGGGCCTGCCCAGGTGATGGGGAGGGGGTGACAGAGCCGGGTGCTGCCACCTTTAGCCCAACCTTGAGGGGCCGGGCTGCGGGGCTCCCGGGAGCCCGTGCTGGGCGGTGAGTGGGGTCACGGTGGGTGTGAATGCTGTGAGGACCCCACTTCCAGGTATGGGCCAGGGAAAGATCAGCCACCTTCCCTAAGCTGCCCGGGCAGGCCAGGGGCCCCCCGGTGCTGGGCACCCCTCTGAGAACGGGGCACGGAGCCTGAGGATGGTTTATTCTGTGCAATGTCTCACAGGGCACACACTCATGCCACGCCTTCAACACCAGACCCCAGCCGGGCGCAGGGGACGTGTGAGGTACTCACACTGCCGCCTCCGGGCACATGTTTGATATTATCCTTTGAGCCACACTTGGACTGGACGTTGCTAAGATCCAGCTTCTTATTAATTATCTGCACCTTTGACAGCCAGAAAAAAGGATGAGTGACACCCCCAGCTCGCCTGCTCTGCACGGAGGACCCCGGAGGGCAGGGCAGGGACCGGAGGCCCAGGCAGCACCCCAGGAAGGCACTCCCCAACCGGCTGATCTGGGCGGACCCACCCTACAGCTTGGGGTTCACAAGACAGACCCATCCAGAGGCAACTCTTCCCCTGACACAGGGTGTGTCACGGAGGCCCCTGGGCGAGCCTCTGAGGCCCTAAACCAGAACTGAGTGCTCACATGGTGGGGGGGAGGGTGGGGTAGGGGGGAGAATGTGCTCACTTGTGTTACTTTAATCCTCACCGAGGACGTGCTTAGAGAGAGGAAGGGAGAGAGAAACATCGATCGGTTGCCCTCTGTATATGCCCTGACCGCGAATCGAATTGGCAGCTTTTCCACGCACAGGACGATGCTCAACCACCGAGCCACTCGGCCAGGCCCACTGAGGCTATTAAATGAACAAACACAGAGTCCCAGCTGGGCCCTCACGCACACCCCTTGGACCCGTCAGAACCTTCCCCGAGACCTGGCTGTGGCTGTTCTCAAGCTTGTCAGGCGGTGGAATCACCTGCAAGTATTTAAAAAACCAGACCCCACCGCGATCTAGAATGAGAATCTCGGGCTCTGCTTCTGCAAAGCGCGTGGTGCTGCCTGCACACCTGGGTCAAGGACCACTGAGGTCACAGGAGGACGTGGGTGCTGTGTGGAGAAGACAGAGCAGACCTCCCCCCCGCCCCCCGCCGCGGGCGTGCGAGGACTTGGCCTCGTGGAAGGCAGGGTAAGTGCTGCCCTTCCAGCCCTCGGCTCCCCCTTGTCCACAACCAGGTGCCTCAAGGGAACTGGGACAGGGGCCCAGGCGCCTCCTCTCAGCCTCCCTGGGCAGGTGTGGCCCGGATGGTGCGGTCCCACTGTCGTCCTGTGAGGCTCAGGGGTGGGGATATTGACATCTTAGTGGGGAAAGATTTTGACCCACTTTGTCTAAAAACTATGAAATACGCAGACAACCATGGCACAGAGACGAGGGTTGGCAAACTCCACTTTGCTGGGATGACGGCACCCTCGTCAGCAGGTGTCTCCCCTCAGGAGCACTGTGCTTGGAAACAGGGAGCCACGGGTTCAATTAACCACCGATGATATAAAGGACCAACAGCCGGCGTTCCCACTTAAGAACCAGCATCGGCCGACGAACCAGGCCGTCACGGTCAGGGCACACGCCTGGGTTGCAGGCTCGATCCTCGATGGGCGTGCAGGGGGCAGCCGATCAATGATTCTCTCTCCTTATTGCTATTTCTATCTCTCCCTTTCCCTGTCTCTCAAAAAAAAAAAAAATTTTTTTTTTTTAAAGAACCAGCATCGCTCTCTGAAGTCGGTTTGGCTCAGTGGATAGACCTCTGTGCTGCGTTTGGGAACGGTGGCTGGGGGCCGCTGCCTAGAGGCCAGGGGTAGGGTGGCTATGGCTGAGGGTCAGGGCCCTGGCTGGGGGCCGCTGCCTAGAGGCCAGGGGTAGGGTGGCTATGGCTGAGGGTCAGGGCCCTGGCTGGGGGCCGCTGCCCAGAGGCCAGGGTTAGGGTGGCTGAGGCTGAGGGTCAGGGCCCTGGCTGGGGGCCGCTGCCCAGAGGCCAGGGTTAGGGTGGCTGAGGCTGAGGGTCAGGGCCCTGGCTGGGGGCCGCTGCCCAGAGGCCAGGGGTAGGGTGGCTATGGCTGAGGGTCAGGGCCCTGGCTGGGGGCCGCTGCCCAGAGGCCAGGGTTAGGGTGGCTGAGGCTGAGGGTCAGGGCCCTGGCTGGGGGCCGCTGCCCAGAGGCCAGGGTTAGGGTGGCTATGGCTGAGGGTCAGGGCCCTGGCTGGGGGCCGCTGCCCAGAGGCCAGGGTTAGGGTGGCTGTGGCTGAGGGTCAGGGCCCTGGCCGGGCTCGTCCGGGGAGAATGAGCCAGAGCCGGCCACCCAGGGGTCCACAGGTCCTCAGCAAAACGAAGAATTGAGGATATGATAGCGAAATTGGTCCATCCTACTTTTTGGTGTTAAAATGGCCTTTCCTTTATTAAATTATTAATTACTACATCACGTTAATAGATATTATTTTTAGGTGTCCTTTACCTGGCTACGTAAACAGACAGCAATCTTCTGGAGGCACCACCCCCAACCTTTTTCTTTAGCATGAACCTAACCACCTGAGAAACCTATCTAACCCACCTCTTTATTCTTTTATGGTCCTTTCAAATAAAAGCTATGCCTGGCTGGTGTGGCTCAGTGGGTTGAGCATTGTCCCGTGCACCGGGAGGTCCCCGGTTCTATTCCTGGTCAGGGCACGCTAGATCTCTGGGGTGGGGGTGGGGGATGGGGGGGTTGTGTGCAGGAGGCAGCCAATCAATGTTTCTCTCTGATCAATTTTACTCTCATCCTCTCCCTTCCTCTCTCTCTCAAATCAGTAAAAACATATTCTTTCCATTAGAAAAAACCCAGAACATTGTGCTTTTGAAAATAGAGGTTAAAAAAACGCAAAAGTTTTCTTGCCTTCCAAACACAACCACTATCGTATTTCATTGCATTCCCTGAAGCCCCATATACACGTAAACTACCGTCATGTGCGTAGAAATGGCAGTAATTAGTGCGTCCACACACTTTCTATCTTGTTTTATCAAGTAATGTACCCTAGGCACCTGTGCTATCAGATGTTTATCCTGATTCCATTTTAAAGAAAATCAACAGCCTCACCACAAACACCTTTGCGCAAGGAGCTTTTCCCTGTTTTGGGTTATTTTCATAGCATGGGGTCCCAGGAGTAGAATTTCCAGGCCACAGTTATAAACACTCTGAAAACGCTCAGCACAGCCCCTGCATGGCTTTCTGAAGGATGTTCCCCGAGAGCGCGGTGCAGGAAGCTCACCATAGAGCTGCCAATCTTGGGCATTTCAAAATGTGTTTATTTCCTTGACTAACACAGACGGCACTGCATTGTTGGCTTCCTCGGCCTTTCTTTGATTTTTACTAAAGTTGCTCCTTTGCCCCCTGTTTGCTAGTAGGTGTATTTCTTTCTAACAAACAACTGTTCAACTTATTTCTTCGTAATTTCTTCTTTGTTTTTTAAACGTAAAAACCACCCCTCCGTTAGCGGTTGGATGAATCTCTAATTCCACGTCCCCTTTCTCACCACCACCCCCTTCGTTACTGACGGAGCTCACAGGGGAGGCCCAGGGAAGTTCAGCGACTTTCTCAAGCCCGTGGCAGAGCCGCACAGGAATCTGGATCTGGGCGTGTCTGTGGCCACAGGCGACGGATGTGACTGCAGTGTTTTGCCTGAGCTGTCTGTCCTCAAGGCTGTTGTGTCATAAGCCAAAACAGCGCTCTCCCTCGGAGAACACCGAGTTCTCTCCCGGAGCGGGAGACACACGGGCAGGGCAGGGCGTTAGCCAGGCGGGAGCGAAGAGCCGGGTGAGGGATGGACTTTCTCCTGCTGCTGCTTAAGGAGCTGCTGTCACCCTCTGCATCGTGTCTGAATCAATGTGTGCCGCCCTCAGATTTGAGGGAGTCCCACTTGAACTTCTTCCTCGGGGATCATTTTTATTTACAACTTTCAGCTGGGTAAGTCCCAGAGGGAGACTAGCCTACTTTCACGAAGAGCAGTTTAGAATTAGAAAACAACAACACACACACACACAGCAATAAAACAAGAAAATGTAAAGGAGAATGGTAACAGAAGGGGAGGCCATTAGCACTGACAATTACAAGACAGATTATGACCCCCTGGCCAGGTAGCTCAGTTGGTTAGAGCTTCATCCTGATATGCCAAGGTTGTCTGATTCCTGGTCAGGGCACATACAAGAACCAACCAATGAGTGCATAAATGAGTGGAACAACAAATTGATGTCTGTCTCTCTCTCTCTCTCTCTCTCTCTCTCTCTCTCTCTTCCTCTCTCAAAAATAAATAAATAAAAACATTAAAAAAACACACACACAAACAAGATGGTTCCTTACATTTAACTTTGAGCTTCCTGGAAGCCAAGGCAAAAAGGCAAACAGGATGGGTTACATAACTCCTCTTATCTGACAAAGAAAACTTACCAGTTTTGCAAGTTTTCTGTAAAATCCATATAAGAAATTCATCAATCAAATCAAGAGTTCATGAAGTAATAATAAAATTTATAACATAACCAGAAAATTTTCCCTCCAGTGTAACTTTTTCTTTTTCCAATCCCACAAAAAAGACAACAAGCTCTCAGTAGCCCTTTTATGGGATTTGGAAATAGACAAAAGGATATGTACAAAGCAGACACAAATTACCGTTAGTCATCAAATTAAGCCAACACCCTTTACAGAATGTTAGGTTTACAGAAAGGGGGGAAAGGGTAACGGTTGGCATTCTGAAATTGGGATCCTGAAACGACTTCTCTCTGGAGTATCTTGTGTGATACTGAGCCTCAGGTCTGGCCAGACACTGAACATACCCATCACAGGAAAGAGCAATGTTTTGGAAGCTCCAAATTTTAGTCTGGAGACTCCCAGTCAGGCAAGAAATTCCTGTGGTCAGGGTTTGGCCCTGGAGGAGAGGGTGGGGTGAGGTGGGCGGGTCCACTTTGCTTTAATCTGCTTCCTGGAGGGAAGTCCCAAACCTTTATTAGACCTTGAACTTGTTCTGTTTGCGCTCAGATCGCTCAAGGTGCACCAGGTGGCCCAGCCCTCCCCTGGCGAGCTCCCAGCTGGCCCCTGGTCCTGGCTGTCCCTGGCGAGGTCTGCCCCCAGCACTGCCTGGTGCTTGCTGGGCGACCTCACCTCACTGGGGTCGAGAGGCCCAGGGCCCAGGGCTGAGGATTCGGAGTGGGATGTTCTGGTGGGAAAGTCTGAGCCTGAGGACGGACACGGGAAAGCTTATCTGGGTCCTGTTAAGTCAACCAGCCAGAGAAGAGGTCAAATAACAGGGAAGTCGCCTGTAGAATTATTTGCACCTTTCCTTTAACCAGTGACTGCCCCCAGCTGCTTTAAAATGATTTACACAAGGTTTTTCCACAAACACGGGTGCTGTGTACGGGGAGGGTCCCAGCCTGGCTCTGCCCGCCGCTCGCTGCAGGGCCCGACACCTCAGCCCAGGTTCACCTGAGTCCAGGACAGGCAAACGATCCCAGGCAAACATTCACTTTACTCCACAGAAATGCTCCTCACCTGTGCTTTTTAAATTAAGAGCTGGGACTTTGTCAATAAATATAATGAATCTAGAAATACTTCCTGAATGGAGACAGACGCTTACAGCGCTCCATCGCCATCTTGTGGCCGCTGGGAACATTGCAGCCCAGGGCGTTCCCAGCCTGAGCTCGGGAGGTTCCTGTCCAGCTGGGTCTTTGCATTCCGGCTGCGGGCCAGGGCCCCTCCGAGAAGTGACGTTAGCTCTGTCTGCTCAGAGCCAACCAGGCCACCCCCACGCTCGGGCCGCCGTGCCCTTTCCAGGCTATGACCCTGCACATCCCACTCACCCTTGGCAGCCACAGGATCCCCTGTTCTCCTGACCAGGCAGCCCAGCCCCAAGTGCACCTTCTCTCTGACCCTGGATGGCACTGGGGCCGGGGCGGGGGGCTGTGCTTCCTTCTGCGCCCCCACTGACCGCACAGAGGGGCGGCTGAGGTTGGTGTTGCCCCATCTGCCCTCGCATTCAACTCTGAGGCCTCCCAAGCTCACGCCCACGACCACTGACAGCTGAGCCTGGGCTCTCTGCCGTGGGTCCCTCCAGCTCCCTCTTCCTTCCACATCCTGGCTAGAGGACAGTTCCTGTCGGCCAGGGCAGACACTGCTGGGGCACAAAAGGCCTCCTCCAGCAGCTGTTCACGCTCCCCGGCCTAAGCCCCCACTCCCCTGCCCATCCCAGCTCTAACTTGATTTTGCTTCTGATCTGAAAATCTCCAGCGTGCGGTTCCTCACGGCGTCTTCCAGCCCCTGGGCCCAGCACTCTGTGTGTGTGTGTGTGGGCCGGGGGGGGGGGGGGGGGGCTGTCCTTGCCAAGGCCAGTGATGGTCCCAATCAAGGGTCTGCCCTGGCTTCTCTGAATTGTTGGTAACACGTGAGACTGTGGGTGACACCCCACAACACAGGTGACTCTCCGTGTGGGGGACCCCCCCCCATGGTATGGGCTGATCCCCACTGCATCCCTGGCCAACCTCTCCGCTCCCTTTGTATTTCCCTCCCCTGGCCTGGGCCCCGGGGGCAGCAACTCAGCACAGGGCCTGACACTCAGAGGTGCCCCAGAAATGTTGGTGAATGAACACAGGGAGGTAGGAACCCGCTTCTGATGCTACCTGCGTGCTCTGTATCACCAGGATGTAAGGATGCCAGTTCACATTATTCACCTGCAGTGAGTAGCTTTTAAAAACATGTTTTAAATTTAAAAAAAATGTAAAAATTGATTTTAGGGAGAGGAAGGGAGCAAGAGAGAAACATCGATTTGTTGTTCCAGTTCTGCATTAGTTGGCTGATTCTTGTATGTGGCCTGACTGGGGATGGAACCTGCAACCTTGGTGTATCAGAATGACACTCTAACCAATGAGCTACCCAGCCAGGGCCTTTAAACTATGTTTTAAATGCTGGTTCTCTGTCGCCACGATGGAATTCTCCCCTGCTCCCCTCACAGAGAGTAGGGCTCGGACAGACTCTTGGGGAGGGAGGTGCGAGACAGAGGGGGTGGCCTGGCTGGTACTGACTGACATTTGGGGACACGGGGTCTTAGCCTGGACTACACATCGGGAACACCTGGGGAGGCCCCTGAGGTTCTTACAAACCTGGGAAAGGCTCTGGCGTCAGGATTTTTAACAGAACCCGCCCCCCCCCGCCCCAGGTGATTCTCCTTGGCAGCCGGTGGGGAATGAGAACTGTCCGGCTCCAGGAGCAGGCTCCCTGATCGGCAGTGACCCCCAGCTGCCGGCCTCGCCGCCCCTGGCTCCCGTCTTCATCTAGTTCTGTGGAGGGGCCAGGGATTCTTCCGCACTTTCCTTTTAAAGTTCAGAATTTCGTTTTGGTCTCTGCAAGCTGTACACCATCACTGCACAACGACGGAAGTAGGAAGGCCGAGGTTCTCAGTCTGCAGGTTGCCAAGCAGCTGCTCTTCCTTCTTCCCAGAGGCCTCGGTTCACGGAGGGAGTTGCCCCTCAGCTGAGGCTCCCACAGGCCACAGCCCCCCAAGGCCTGAGCGTCGCCTCCGGGAACCGCCGGCCCAGTCCAGGCAGAGGACACGCTCATTTTAAGAGCCTTCTCCGTGGACCCCAAGCGTCTCTGTTTCCTTTTCAGTTTCCCTGGAGACTGATGCGTTGCTCTTTGTCGTGGTGGCTGCGGTGGTCTTTGGTTCAGACAATTGTCTAGGTTTTCTATGGACGTTAAGGGATGGCTGTCGATCCTCCCTCTGCGCTTCCCCACACCTCCCGCCTGGTCAGTCCTAAGGAAAGTCACCCTCTCTCCTTCGGGAGATGAGGGCACGTCTGCGCCCGGCCTGGTGCGTGGTGACCTGGGGCACCTTCCCCTTCCGCTCTGAGCCTCAGGTCACAGCCCTGGTCCCCAGGCTCCTCGCCCTGCGCAGTGCAGGGCGGGGGCAGGGCAGCCCTGGGAGAGTCCCCCCTCCATTCAGCGCTGTCACTCAGCAGAGCTGCAAGAACTGGGCCAAAGGTGCCCAGCCCTTCCAAGCCAACCTCAGATGACCCTGGGGTGGCAGGAGGACACGGTGTTTGCTGGTGTGTGACCGCCCCGCGGGCTGGGAGTCGCTCAGGGCTCCGGTTCCCTCTGGGTGCGCTGGTCACAGCTGCAGAATCATCTCCACGGCGCACACTGGCCGGTGGGGTTTTGCTTCTCATTTTTCAAAACGGGCAAACGGTCACACTGCTATGAAAACAGGCACGAGGCCCCCCGGCACTGAGGGGAGGGGGCCGTGTGGAGAACATCCCATCGTCTTGCAAACCAAGTCCCTGGAGCTCCCTCTGCCCCAAAACATCACAGAAGGATCAGCCTCCAACCAGCACCCTCACCGCTGCCTCAGCCCCCCTGGAAGGAGCCGGGCATCTCTACCGAGAGGCGCACAGGCCGGCATCGCAGGAAGGAAATATGGCCCAGGGCCTCCCTGTGGTCCAAAGACAGCTCCCCCGAGAGGTGCCTGGGCCCCCAAGGCTGGGAGGGGCCAGCGGGAGGCCCTGAGGCTCCGCAGGAGCCAAGAGCAGGGTTTCAGGCGAGACACCCACATGTGCTCTCCGAGATGGCCTCTTCCAGGGACACCCAGTCCCCGGCCAAGAGTAATAAAATCAATGGTGCGGAGGGTGCCCGCTGTGGGGGAGTCGAGCTGTCCCAACTGGAAGGTTCTGTAAAGACTCCCAGCCCACCAGGAGGCTCATTGCCCCCCAAACGGCCCAGCCCAAAGCCCCCACACATCTGTGGCCTCCAGAGCAGAGCCTTGGTTCTCGGTACCCCACACACCTCTTCTCCCTTCCCCGTGCCCCCCTGGTGGTGGGTGGGGAGGGCTGATCTGTGTACCCACAATTCATATGCTCAAGTCCTAACTCCCAGGGCCTCCGAACGAGGCTGTATCCGGAGACGGGGCCTGTACAGGGTGGTCCTGTTAAAACAGCTCCTTAGGGTGAGCCCTCATCCGCATGACTGGTGTGCTTACGGGGTGGGGGGGGGCCCAGAGGCACCCGGGGGGAGGAGCGGGAGCACACGAGGAGGGGCAGCCGTCTCCAGTCGAGGAGGGAGGCCAGCGGCCTTCCACACCTCGGTCCTGGGCTTCTGCCCTCGGCACTGGGAGGAGGCAGGTTTCTGCTGTGTAAGCACCCAGCGTGGTATTTCCCTGTCAGGCCCAGGAAACTCGGGGGGCAGGGACAAGAGGAGGAGGGCAGGCGGGGTCCAGGCCAGCCCCTTCTCCCTCCACCTCAGGCCCTCGGAAGCTCACGGCCTCCACCTTTAGGGGACCCCAACATTCATGAGCGCCCACTTGCCCCTGGAAGAATCAGTTCAAAATGGAGCCCAGACTTCCCCAGAACTGAAGGTAGAGAGAAGCCTAATCTAAGCAACCGTCCGACAAACGCCTGACACCCACCTACTGACCAGCTGTCACGTTCTACACGAAGTGGGCACCCCCACTTCGAGGACCCCCGGGTCACAGATCAACCGTCCTCTGATCAGCAGGGCTGACATGGGGAGGAAAAGAACCGGCACTTTCTCTCCCCCACGCAGAGCTGCATGGGACCCCAATAAAGAACCACAACCCATTGTCTTTCCTTGAAGAGGTCTGGGAGGGGGCCGGGGTGCTATGTGAGGGTGGGAGGCAGTCACTCGCCTGCCTCTGACCCAGGTGTGGGGGCCGCACGCCTCCCCCGGTTCCGGTTCCGGTTCGGTTCCGCACAAGCACAGCGGCCTCCTCATGCCCTTACCTTCCCGCCTCCTGGCTGGTGCTTCAGGTTTTCGGTGGAGCCGATCTTGGACCTGACGTTCTTCAGGTCGGGCATGGGCACGGGGGCAGTCTGCAGGCGGCTCTTGGCTGAAGACGGCGACTTGGGTGGCGTGCGGACCACAGCCACCTTCTTGGGCTCCCGGGTGGGCGGGGTTGGCAGGGATGGGGTGCGGGAGCGGCTGCCAGGGGTGCCCGGGGAGCCGGGGCTGCTGTAGCCACTGCGATCCCCAGATTTCCCAGATTCACCTGGAAGAGAGGAGGGAGTGAGGCCAGAACTCGGAATGGGCGCCACTTGGCCAAGGCCCGGGGCTGCCTGTCCGAGGGCCCACCCCGGGCTCAGGGTGAGGCAGGTGGAAAGGCCGGGAGCTCAGGGGGCTGCCTTGAGCTCATCCGCGTCTTTCCTTTCCTGGCCTTGTCGCTGAGGGCAAGAGACAGTAAGTACCCCTTCCCAGAGAGGGAGCCGATTCTGGGGTCGAGAGGTGGGACCCCAACTAGCTGTGTGGTCTCTGACAAGCCACATGCCCCTGAGTTCGGGCCTCACCTCGAAACCGAGCACAGGGATAAAGCCCGCAGTGAGGAGCCGGCGGCCATGTGTGTGCACGGGCTTCAGAAACTCCAGTGCGATGCCAGGTGGCCTTGGCCCTGAGCAAGGGCGATGCCAGGGCAGGACCAGGGCCACCTCGTCTGGACCCTTGAGACCCTTTCCCCACAGGGTGAATGTGAAGCTGCTGAGCAAGTTCAGGGCCCCTCTCCCACCAGAGCCTCCGCAGCCTCCCGACTCCAGACACTGTGCCTGCTTCATGCCCACCTGTCCCTCGCTCTCCAAACAAGCTATGCCCAGCCCGGTCCCTGCCCTGCCGTTCCCGCCCTTCCCCACGATGCAGGGCAAATGCCAGTGCACCTGTCACACCCTCCGGGAAGGCTGCTGGGACCGTCCTCCCCTGGGGGCCGCTACCCGGTGCTCCCTGACCTGCACCCCGCGCCCCACTGCCCTCCAGTCGTTTACTGTTCCATCTGCCCGTGGTTCAGTGGTTCTCTAGTGTGGCCCAGGGCCCCTGCGTCAGTCTCTAGACCTGTGAGGGGGAGCGGGGGCTGTAAGAGGCAGGTTCCCGGCCCTGCCCACACCTGACGTGACAGAATCTCTAGGGGTGGGGCCTGCAAGCTGCTGCTCCCAAGCTCCCCTGTGATGCTTGAGCCGCCGGGTCTGAGAGCCACTGGGCCCCATGCTGTGCCCCCGGGCCGAGGCTTAGCTTCCCTCAGCTCCGAGGCACTTGTCCAGGGGGGAGTAAGCCAGGTCCTTCCTAGAGTGTGATCGTCCGCTGTGAACCCTAAAGTCAAGTTCTGTGGCAACAGGACAAACGAAGCCTTTTCTCCTTTTCCACCTAAGAACCCCCCCAACCCCCATCTCTGCCTCTAGGTCAGTGATGGCGAACCCATGACACTCATTTTTTGGGTTGATTTTTCTTTGTTAAATGGCATTTAAATATATAAAATAAATATCAAAAATATAAGTCTTTGTTTACTATGGTTGCAAATATCAAAAAATTTCTATATGTGACACGGCACCAGAGTTAAGTTAGGGTTTTTCAAAATGCTGACACGCTGAGCTCAAAAGGTTCACCATCACTGTCCTAGGCCATCCCCACCCACTCTGCCCTTCCCTGCCCTCCCCTCCTGCCTCCACGCACAAGGCCAGACTTGGCGATGGCTTCACATCCTTTCTGTGCCACCTAATTTTGGAGTGACCCCTGAGCCTGTGTCTGCATCTGAAAGGGGGGGATGTGTCACAGCCCCCAGTGCTGTGTGTGAAGACGGGATGTGGCGACAGGTAAAAGCGTCCAGAGCAGAGACGGGCCGGCCTCCCAGGCTGTGCAGACCACGTGTGATAAACGCCAGAGGGAATGTCACACACAGACCGTGGTTAGGGACCGTGCAACCTTCAGCAGCCACAGGCAGCCCGAGGCACGCGCTCCCCTGCCCCACCCAGCCCTCCGAGGCAGGAAGTGAGAACACACAGGATTAGAAAGCTCCCTCGGACGCACACGGCTCATCAAACCACACGCCAGCAGAGGAGCGAGAATCCTGACTGTCCCCGTCCAGGCTCAGCGTGTGAAACCACGGTTTCAGAAGCGGGTCCTCCAGCTCTAAACACCAAAGCCGACAAACAGCCACACACAGAGGGGGTGACCCCTGGCGGAGCAGGGTTACCTCGCTCAGGCTTTGGCCCTGCGGGGGGTGGTTTTCTCTGCACTTGCTTGGTAGCTTTAAAAGAAAAATCCACAGGAAGCCTCGTTACAATCAGGCAGAAACGGGGCCTGAGGAGCTCTTCTCCGGGCCGTGGGTGCCCAGCCAGGCCGAGGGGCTGAGGTGGGAGGCAGGGAAGGCGTCCAGGGAGCAGGGGCCTGTCTGTCAGGAAACAAGGTCAAGGGGCCCACGGGGTGCTCTGTCCACCTGCAGGCGGCCACCCGAGAGCGGGTGAGGGCCAAGGAGAGATGCACGTTCGTGCTTCCAGTTGTGGCTCCAGTCGTGTGAGCCAACTGCATCGTGTGAAGTGACAAAGAGCATGCAAAGTCGTATGCAGATCCAGTCACAATTCCGCACTGACCCCCTAGCATAGGCATCACATCCACGAGGAAAACACTGCATGGAAAACCAAACCAGCGCGCCTTAATGCGCGCCGTCCTGGTAGGCATCGCCCGAGGGCAGACTCGGGCTAGACGCCACGCAGAAGCCTGCCGCCGGCGAAGGGCTCTGAGCTGCCGCCCGGGCCAACGGCAGCAGAGGCGTCATTGGACCAGGCCAGGCTCACGCGCAGCCATACAAGACCCACAGGCTCCCGAGCATCTCCCCGGAGCCAACACAGGCCAGCGCCCCCTGACTTGTGCAGCATCGAAACCCAGTTGCCTGGAACATGTTTCCTGGGAGAGGGGGCCTAAGCCTGGCTCTCCCCGTCCCCAAAGAGGGCTACACCTCTGAAAGCACTGCCGGAAGCAAAATCGCTCTACGGGAGCCTGTCCTGCTACTGAACTGACCGGGTTCACTCCCAGGAGCGTAGGACAGATAGCCTGCAACTGATCAGTGAAAACCTCTGGCTTCTGTCAGAGGGTCCCCAACACCCCAGCAAGTGAGGCTGGGCAGAGGCCGCGCCCTGTGTGAGGTCACGCATAGTGACGTGTCCGAGTGGCCGTCAAAACACCTCCCAGGGGCCCTGAACTGGGTGGGGGTCAAGAGAAGCTCAGAGAAGCCCCCTTCCTACCCCTTGTTACCATGCGGCCTCATTCTCCTCCTGCTTCCAACGAGCTGGTAGATGCAGCCGTGCAAACTCTGAGCTCGACACCTTCATGGATAAAAGGTGGGGATGCAATATCTAACTAAGAGAATTGTCAAGAAGGCGGAAAAGAAAACGCACAATCCAGTGCTTAGCGAGCAGAAGGCATCGCGGAGCCACCAGGGGCATGAACTGTCAGGGACAGTTCGGAGATGAGGGTTGGGTTCCAGGGAAGGTTCTTACCCGTGCCCGGCGGGGTCTTTGGGGACGGCGTGGTTTTCGCTGGAATCCTGGTGGCATTGGCCGGGCCTTTCTGGCCTGGAGGGGCCGCTCCCCGGGGTGTGGCAATCTTGGTTCCAGTTTTAGTGTCTGCCCCCTGTAAACCGAAGCATGGTAGCGTGGTTTTTACGGTTGAGAAAGGACTTTGTTACTTGGCGTCGATGCCACTTAACCACTTTGACTCAAAATGAGGCTACGGGTGGGGTGACCCTTTGCCTACACGATGCAACGAATGTCTCCTACAATCACAAGGGTTTGCTGGGCACACAAACCCGCAGCCCCACCCAAACGCCAAGCGCTCCGAACACGTTTCCTCCTGGGGGAACGTTCAGGTGCGTTATCAGCGTGAGCTGCGCTGATGTGCGGCAAGAACGGCCATGGAGCTGATAGGGACGCTCAGGCTCACTCCCCACCAGGCCGCTCAGCAGGCAGGACATCAGACCGCTCCCGTGTGGACACCCGTTCTCTGCCTCTCCTCAGGGACCTGACTGGCGGTGGCTGGTTTCACCAGAGGCCCGTGAGGACCCTGTTTGTTGAACTTGACCGAAAGTGCTCCAGGGCTAAGTCAGACTCTTCTGTTCTCTCACAAGCAGCCCTGGGTTTCAGCGACTCCTTAGATGCGCTAAGAGCCCATGGTGGTGAACACAGCATCGATTAGCAAACCGGCCCGAGGCTGAGCAGGGCACCAGCACAGCCAGCTGGCAGTGCCCGGGCTTGGTTACCCAGTCGATGACCCTGACTCATGACTCAGAAAAGACACTGCATTCACCAAGGACCTAACGATGGCTCAGGAGGGAGTCAACTAGCGGGTCAGGCGTTGCTGCCCAGCGAGGCTGGTATCCAACCCGAGAGGGCAATCTGGAAGCACTCCAGTTCCCCAACCGGGAGTGGACAGGGGAGCCCCACTCGAGCGGCGACTTCACAGCGGGGTCCCGGCAGGTGCCTGGGGGCTGCTGCTATGAGGCACTAAGGGAGTTTAGAAGGATGGTGCCGAGGCCCCATCCCCATTTCAACTGTTCTATGTGGCGCTTCTAGGTAAGAGCTGATCTGAAGAAAGGTCTTTTCGGCTAAAAGAGACACACATTGGAAAACCACACGAGAGCAGCCTGGTTCTTTGCGGAGGCGTTTTTCCTTACCTTGACTTTCATCTCCTTTGCTCCAGAACCGCCGGTTCGGGGCGTGACAGAAGAGACGTGTTTAGGAGAGGAGGATGGCTCTGGGCACACGGCAGGGCTGGAGGGTTTGATCAAAGGGTCTGAGCTACCAGGAGGGGGGCCTTTGGGGCTAAGGCAGGGCCTACTGTTCAGGGTTTTAGCAGAGGAAGGTGTGGATGTCTTAAACATAAACATAAATAAAATCAAAATAAAAGTCAGCGCATGGGGGAGGGAAACAAACTGAAAAAGACAGTAACTAAACATAAACAAGGCAGGTAACGGTCTACGGCAGGGATCTCCACCTGTTTGGATCATGTACCCTTGGCAGCCGTCATCGGCCAGAACAGGTGGGGACGTGCGCCCTCATGGACTCGGCCAATATATGCAGTGCATTATAGAATGCACATGTGACAGAGAATGCACATGTGACAGGACTTTTAAAAGAGAAGCTGAAAAATGGAGAGAAGTTCTAGAACGTTCTGTCTTGATCCCATTGGCCCCCCCTGCTCCCCACTTTGGAGAATTTTTTGATTTACAGGTGTTTCATGTCCAAAAAGTTGGTGGAGATCACCAAAGTAGATGATTCTAGGATGTTTCTCAATAAAACTTCTGCAGCGTGTCAAGCGTCCGACATGCCCAATTCCAGGTGCGGAGCCAGGCTGGCCAGCTCACCCCTGGCGCCCTCCCCCTCGCTGACAGGTTGGTAACGCTACAATCCGGGCTGTGCCGGTTCTCAGTCTCAAAGATTCTGCCCGACACCACTTAGCACTCTCGCTCTCTCTCTCTCTCTTTCTCTCTCTCTCTCTTTCACACACACACACTCACACACACACATACACACACACACACACACACTTTCTGAATAAAATCTGCAATAGAACTGAACTCGATCTGGTGAACCCTAATCTGGCCCAAGTTTCCTCTGGAACGTGGGCCACTTAAGGAAAAGCCTGAGTGGGCGGGCGGCCCATGGGACAGGTGCCTGAGAGCCGGATGACCTCACAGAGGCAGCTGCACTTGACGATGTGTGGCTGGCACCTGCGGTTTGTCCTAATGCCTTGGGGGGACTCTGACCAGGGTGTGTGGCCCAGGGAGAGGAGGGGCTACACTTTCAGGAATAAACCCTGGAGGACCGGTCGAGAGGTGGGGCTGAGCTACGACGGGGCAGGTCCTGACGGAGATTTTACTGGTTTCTGGGGTTTGTTCCTCATCGCCCTTGCATTCCCCAGGGAAGCCTCAGCGAGGAGGACGGCCCAAGGGATGGAGGAGGAGTGAGGGGAGGGATGCGAGCTGAGGTCCTGGGGCTGGTGAAAAGGAAGAAAAGCTGGGGGTGGGTATTGGCAACGCCTCCTTCCCCAGATGCACAGGCAGCGCTCTCCCTACCAAGGTTTCTGAGAGACCTGACCCCTCACTATGAGCAACTCTAGGGCAGGGACGTTGCACCATGTGTGGGAATGAATGAATGAATGAATGAATGCATGAGGCTGGGGTCCCCCTAAATGTGCATTATGATTGGCAAGCAGCTATGGCTACTGCTTCAAGCACCGAGGGCAGAGCCCCATCCCCCAAGTCTCTGCAGGACCCATAGCTGACTCACAGGGTCTTGTGATGGGGAACCCTGACTTCCTACAGGACAGCGCTTTGGGGAGTGGCCCTCAACACGCTACCATTTTGCACCTGGGGGCTCCATCAGGGCTCCGGGGCTGATGAAGACCCAGGCCTTTCAGGCAGAATTGATAACGGGAATTTTAGGCACCTTTAAGAAAAACAGGTCTTCGTCTAGGGCAGTGATGGCGAACCTATTACACGCGTGTCAGAGGTGACATGCGAACTCATTTTTTTGGTTGATTTTTCTTTGTTAAATGGCATTTAAATATATAAAATAAATATCAAAAATATAAGTCTTTGTTTTACTATGGTTGCAAATATCAAAAATTTTCTATATGTGACACGGCACCAGAGTTAAGTTAGGGTTTTTCAAAATGCTGACACGCCGAGCTCAAAAGGTTCGCTATCACTGGTCTAGGGCCATGGTGGGATTTTCCTGGGATGGGAAGTCCTGGGTGCAGTGCTGGTGGGCGGGTGGGGGCAGCAGGCTGCTTCTCTTACTGATCCTGGGGTTCGTTTCTGAAGACTGATGACAGCACACGATCAAATCACCGCCTTGGCAAGATGTGAAGCGGCATCTACTGCGCCACGGCCGCCACACTTGTCCACTTAGCGTTCAAGGTGTGTGCCAGGCGTCCCTCCTCTGCCAGCCGCACCCCCACGCCCCCTCCAGCTCTGCAGCCACCAAGCCAAGCTGCTTAGAGTTCTTGGAAGGCACGAGGCCTCTCTTCCCAGTCTTTGCTGGGCTGTTGCTGCCCTTAGATGCCTTTCCCACCCCACCCGCCTCGCCAACCCTCCTTTGTAGGCCCGCTCTCCTAGGCCTTTCCCGGAACCCTCCACCTTAGGTTGGGGATCACGTCCTTGCTCAACACTCCCTCAGCCCCCAAGGAAATGACATTTTTCTATCTAAAGTATGTGTGTGTGTATATATACATATGTTTTTGAGCCCAGACCTGCAGCGAGAAGTGTAAGATGTACAAAATTCAGAAAAGTCAAACGTACCTTCATGTCCCGTGAACACCTCATTTAACTAGGCTAACGGATGGCACCTAGGAGCAGGGCCCCGGAGCCTGCCGACTGCCCTGCCCTGGCACAGGTAGCAACAGGGGTAAACGCGGGAGTTTTACGTTGGTGTAAAAACAAGCGCTGGGAATGGCGGTTGTACCTCAGTGACACGTATACAGACACATTGTACATAAAAACTAATTCAGATATAAAGCACGGCTTCTTGGTAGACTCGGCGGCAGACAGCTCCGTGGTTTCGGCAGCTTACCTTGGTTTTCTTGTCGTCGGTGCCAGCCCCGTCTTTGCCTTTGCTGACCATGCGAGCTGAGGAAATACAAAACGAGAATGGACGTTACACCCATTTGCACGGCTCCTGGACGGGGCCCGGGGCCGTTAGGCCTCTTTCTCAGGGTGGTGCCACCTGCTTTGCTCAGGTGGGCTCAGTGGGAACCACTGGTTTTCTCTCCCCGGAACCTGTTAGGCCTCTCGCTGTTAGTATCAACACAGCACGCTGGGGTCATTGCTTGGCGCACCCTGACGAGGGCAGCAGGCTGGCCGAGGGTGGGGACATGCAGAGGGGACGCAGAGGCAACTTCCGGGCACACGTTGGCACAGGGAAGGCAGGCCCTGCCTCTTACAGGCTCCCTTCCTGCCTCTGCCTGGGCCAGTCCCCCCCAGCTGGGGCCAACTCCTCTCCAAGGAGGGGCACTTGGAAGTCCCAGGGCCACCGATGGGGCAGCTCAGCCAGGCTCTGGCCCCTGCAGGACCCCTGCTCATGCTGTCACCCAAGGGTCAGGGCCAGCCCCTCACTAATGGGGGCTTTGGGCACCAGCCCCAGCTGTTCTCCAATGAGCCCACCCCCCCGACCCAGCCCTGGAGGGTCTTCTCACCATCTGGTGGCCCTCCCAAGGGGTTAATCCTTGCATTTCCCCAAATTAGCTCATAACTGGTTACCATCGAACATCCTACAGATGAACCTCTGGATTTTAGGACTAAACCATTGACCATTTTTGTGTTTAGAAAGCCACACCCATTGGTGAAACCAGTCTACTGGTCTACCAGGGTCACCTCTGCCTGACCTTCTCCTTCTACTGACATTCATTGTTGAAGATTGATTATAGATTTGTCTTTGATTTCAATATTGTAGTCCCCTTGCCCCAAGGACTTGGAGCTGCTCACTGGCTACGGGAGACTGGATTTTTAGAGTGACCAGCATTGATGAGCTGGCCCAGAGGTTTTCAGACTTCACCGTGATGAATCACCAGGAGAGGTTATTAAAATGCAGGTTCCTGAGCCCACCCTGAGACTCTTAGCCAGGGTCCAGGACCTGGTTCACAGCCTTTGCCCACATCAACCATCATGCATGTCACAACCAATGCGTCTGCTAGATCAGCATTTCCCAAATTGGGGGACTACTGAACAGGCCCTCTTCCAGGAGATGTAAGCAGATGAGATCAAATAACTTTGGGGAATTCATACTATGGGTCCTTCTCAGAGGGTCAACATGTGCATTAGATTATTAAAGACTCGGGCAAGTCCTGAACCTGCAAACCCTATTTAACTTTGTTTAGTCTAAGCTGACTGGACCATGGACGCACCTGTCAGCATCCAGTGGACCAGGATTCTATAAAACACCGTTTTCAGGAAGCGGTGTTGTAAGGTGTCAAGCCACAGTTATTTGCCTCCTACTATTTTGGAACTTAGGATATTTTAAAATGGACACAGGATTTTTTTTCTGTTTTAAATTTTAAGGGATTATAAATTTATTAGGTCATCTGGATACCAGATGGGTTGAGCTCCAAAATGGCACCAGCCTCTGTTTTAAATTTTAAATACAGCTTCCTTTATCGACGACATTTCCAAGTTTTCTTGACATGCAGGATCTAATAAAAACTTAACAGATGTTTGCCATTGACAGCTTCAGTAGCATCCATGTCTGAACCCTGAAAATAACCCTGAAATGCTCAGGGCCCTAAATGTATGGATGCACCTGACGTGACCAGGAAGCCGCCTTGGGTTGTACACTGTCCCCTCCCTGACAGAGACCTCGACACTTGGGAACCGCCAACCGCCCCTCCCATCTCTCCAGCCCCCAAAGGGCGACTGTGGTCTTGCTTCCTAGGGCTCAGGAAGGGGGGTGCTTTGAACAGGAACATTTTGTTCCTGCTCATTGTCCCTCCTGCGGGGTGGGTGGGGGTGGGGTCGTTGTGTCATTGGCTCAGTGTGGGCTGTTGGCCACCTCCGAGCGCTTGTGTGTGTCACCTGCCGCGCGTGATGCATTGTCCACTGACAAGAGCAGCAGGAGGCGGGCTCGTGCCCTCTGCGTCTCTGGGCCAGGAGGTTTCGCTCCAGAACCTTCTGGAAGTCACTGTGGTGTACAAGGAAGAGCTTCCTTCCCGAGCAGACCTACCTGGATTCTGAACCTGGCTTGGCCATTTGCGACTTGGTAACCTTCAGTGAGTTACTTTGCCTCTCTGAGCCTCAGTTTTCTCATCTGCCAAGTGGGCTAATGACACCCACTTGGGAGGGCCGGGAGGGTTCTAGGCTATACATTTAAGGCGCACGACAGGCCCTCAAAAGTCGGAGCAGCTGTTACCCTCTCTGGAGTGCGGCCCACCAACCTCCCGTGGGCTGGTGGACTGTGCGGATAAACCAAGTGGCCGGGGGACTGAACAGGGCAGGAAGCGCTGGGCGGGGGTGTTGGTGACATGCAGAACGGCGGGCAAGCGTGAGGGGGGCTCGTGCGTCCAGGGCCTGAGGGCAGGAGGGGGCCACGGGAGGGTGAGCGGCGGGACCCAGGCGGTCCGCTTAGGGGCTGTGCCTGGGAACCTGGAAGCGGCAGGAGTCACGGGGGCCAGAAGCTCAGTGGCAGTGCCCGCAGCCCGGGTGGCACACGGGGTTCCGGGAAGCAGCTCAGGGGCTCTTGACACAGACCTTTGAGTTGAGGGACCCGGCTGGCGGGCTTCCCGGGCAGCCCAGCCGCAGGCTGCTTTTCAGGTGGTTCTCGAAGGTCAGTCTTTTTTGTGTCCTCCCCCTCAGAGGGGCTTGGGGGCTCTGAATCCTCTCCAGGGGCCCCCGGAGGGGCAGCCCCTCCCACATCCACCTGGGAGCCTCCCTGCTCCTTCTGCACGTTGGCTTTGATTTCCACGTGGAACGTGAACTCGGGGGGCCCGTCATGCCCTTCCACAGGCCCCGCGCTGGGCCCCTCAGGCTCTGCGGCCTGGGGCTCTGTGCAAACTTTGGGGAGGTAATCGACATGGAGGGGGATGGCACCCTCAGCTGGGAAACCGGATGTGCCAGTGGCTTCTCTAGAAACTGTCTGGGGGGCTGGCCCGCCTCGGGTTGGGGAGCTCTGCAGACCTGGGGAGACCTGGGAGGGAGGGGAGACCTGGGAGGGAGGAGAGTCCTGGGAGGGAGGGGAGTCCTGGGGCGAGGACTCGTCGATGTCGCGGTCTTCATCCACCTCCTCACCCCCCAGCCTCTCTTTGCCCTGATGCCCCTTCAGAGGCGGCCCCTCCTGGCGCAGGCCTCCCAAAGGCTGGTGCTCCAGCAGCCCCAGGCCACGGCGACTTCCTGCTGTGTCCTCGGGTTCTGCCCCCAAGGGCGGGTCCTTGGCTTCTCTGAGGCCCTCGGGCAGGATGGGAGCCCCAGGTACGTCGGGCACGTGCTGGCGGGTCAGACCCGGGGTCCTCAGGCCCGTGGCCGCGTCTCCATGACGCCTCGGCTCTTTGAGGACGCCTTCCTGGACCGCCTCTGTCTGCAGATGCCCAGGGGAGCTGGGCTCCGGGAACGCCGGGGCCTCCTCGGCCCGGGCCCCTGGCTTTGGTCCCCACTCCTGGAGGGGCTCCCGAAGGCCTCCTGTTGGAAGAGGCGGTGGGCAGATGGGATGATGCTGAGGACAGTGAGAGTCTTTGGCTTCTGGCTGTTTCTCTCCCTGAGGCAGTGCGGAGACCCCAGAAGCTTCTCTGCCATGTCCAGGCTGAACCTGAGAGCTAAGTCCATCGGCCAGGGGCCTCTCGGGCACCTCCCTCTGCTGACCGGGAACTCTCAACTCCTCTGGGTTTGAAGAGGCAGCAGTGGCAAAAGGTTAGCAAGGGCTCATTGATTGTTTAAGAGGGAGCACACTTATTTGTTGCAATAAGAAAAGGACATTTAAACGACATCACAAGCCTGCACGCACTGCGCTCACCCTCGTTGCTTTGGTCTGCTTGGAATGAAAGCTCTCTCGGTCTATGCTGGGGGGTGGGGGTTGGGGTTGGGGGGAGTGAGCACCTCCCCTCTGTGGGCCTGTTTTCTCACCTTGGACCTGGTTAGTTCCAGGGCCCCATATAGCATTGGTGTTAGGCCCAGACACTTCCTAAAGCCAGGTGGCCTCAGTGGTGGTGCTAACCATTGGCTAAATCCCATATCACTTTCTGGAGAAAAAAACAGCACCTAGTTCCTAGCTATTTTGCAATCTAGAAGCTTCCACATTACACAGTAGACTCTGAAGTTCATTTATGCAGCAAATGACAGCCAACAAACCCAGCCTGCATTGTCTCAGAGGTCTCCATTTCCTAAGAAGAATCTCTAGGACTTAAAAAAATTAAGTTCTTAAAGGTTGTATGCTAAATGATTACAGAAAGTTGCTTTTCTTGAACACAGCAGTTTTGGTTCCTGAGAAGAAAATCATAATAGGGTTTGAAGTTTGCACAGAAGAAAACGGAAAAGAAATGGCCTGTTGGGGATCTGGTTGAGGCCTTGCTCCTGGGACAGACCAGAGGGCACAGCCTGCAGGGAGAACCGCCCGTCACACATGCTTGCGTTTCTGTTGGATATTCATTCCCTCTTCCCCAAGTGGGACAAGGCCAGCTTTTTTTCAGAACACTAAACACTTTAGGGTTGACTCAGAAATAGTGCTGGGAAAAACATGTTAGAGCTCTTTCTAGATCCGCACAGCCCAACTTTAATAAGTACCACCCCCTAAACATCTGCTGGGCCTGTGACGTAGGGCCCAGGCCCAAATTCTCTTTTCAGGGTCGAGTCCGCCTGAGACTTGCCATCTCCCTCCTCCCAACCCCCAAGGCTTGGCAGGCAATTCCAGCCACTGACCTTGAGTCACATGTCCAGCCGCTTGGTCTTCCAGGTTGGGGGTGTCTCCGATGCCTGCTTCTTCAGCTGGTTTATGTGTCGGCAAATGAAGGAGAGAAAAGCAGAGACAGTTACTGTGTGCTAACGACAAAGCTCTCTGCACCTCCCAGTCGTTTTCTGAAAACATTTTTTAAAAAGGCACCTTTACCAGTACCGAGGGGCTGTCCCTCCGACTCGCTGAACATGTTATTGCTGGGGATATTGACTACACAAACCCCTTACACTGTACAGGTGACCTCAGTCCAGTAGGAAAGACCTTCCCCACAGTGGGCCAAGGGTTCTGAGGGCCCCACTGGACAAAGACACACAGGGTGGGTGAGGCCAGAGGAGCAATTTGTTGCCAGGCACGGCCATGGGACCCGTGTCCGGGTGTTGAGTCCCAGCCCCAGCTCGGGGCAGAGGTGGAGGGAAGGGCTAGGCATGGGCTGTGGAGTCAGGCTGGGACTCACACCCAGGTGCCATTATTGACTTAACCTGTGCGTCTCCATTTCCTTACCTAGAACCCCAAGGTGACGATACCGGTTCTACTCCTACAGGAGAGCGGTGAGGATTAACACAAGAATTTGTGTGAACGTGATTAGCAAAGCGCCTGGCATATAGTAGGTGCCCCAGAGCTGTTTGGTTTCTTTTCTCCCAACCATGGGAAACCCTTGAACTGCATGCCCAGAATAGGCGCCTCCTGGTTCAAGGGAGGCCAGCAGTGCCAGTGATAGCTTTGGGGTGTCTTGGGCTTCTGCTTAGCAGCTCAGCCCAAACACAGAAGACTGAGCAAAGGTTTCTGCACATTTCAATGGTGCTGAAATCAATAAGCTTTAATGCAATGCCAATTTCAGCCTCATAATAAATCAGGATACTGCTCCAGGACAGTGAGTATAACTGTCCAGAAGAAAGAGCCTACAAGACCAGTCAGCCATCCATTCCCATGCGCTGGCCTCAGGAGCCCAGTGACAGAGGGCCCCCTGCCCCCCGAGAAATGCCTGTATGCTGTTGGCTGGGCCACCAGTCTTTTCTCCCACACCTGCAATGACTCGGCCTCTACACCTAAGACAGAAATGACAGGTTACCATCCCTGGCCACACGGGCCCACCACAGAGAGCACGGAGGAGGGAAGGGGAAGACTCCCTGGTCTCCGGATAGGCCCGTGATGGCCTTGTAAACACCCGCCCACTGGCTGTCTCAGGGCAGCTGTGGTGAGGGGGGCCGCGGTGAGCTCAGGAAACTCCCCATCTACCAGCTCATAGCACAACCGCCCTCTGGGCCCCCGAGCTGACACTGTGCTGCCCGTGAGGTCTAATGGTGACAACTCCATGTCATTTGACGATACTGTCCGGCAAGCGCAGCTCCAAACATAGATTCGGTCTGAGTTTCTGTCGAGGTTATGGAAGGAAAACTCAGTGACAGCAAGTCCCGCTGAAAGGCACAGATCCGGGAGACAGAGCACAGGACAGGCATGCCGGGATGATGTCACCACCATGGCCCCGGGAAGTCGGCAGCTTCCACAGGCCAGCGCAGAGCTGTGAGAGCCTGGCCCTGGCACCGGCTTGAAATTGGAGGGTGCCAAGAACTCTGACGACCCCCAGTGCCAGCAAGGGAGGCCTCCGAAAAGTCAGAGGGAGGGAGGGCATGTGACCGTGGCTGGCCCAGCACATCACTATACGGCCTCTCTGTATCCCTGAAGCCCCAGGGGCAGGGGCTCCCACCCCAGCACAGCAGTGATTCTTGCAGTGGGGCGGCCACACTGCACCCCCAATAGGACCTCAAATGACAAGTGTTCAGGGGGATACCAAGATACAGCAAATGGAACCTGCCAGTTGAGGTGCCAAGCGAAGGTGCATATTGTCCAAGTCAACAGCTGAGCCTCTGACACCTTCTGCCTCATGAGGAAGCAAGAGGATGGAAGGGAGGGTATCTCTGAGGAGGGTTTCTTTAGAAAGAACAGATTGGGGGGGTTGGCCGTGTAGACACCTCCCCCACCTCAGTCCCAGTGAAAGGGGTTCAAGGCACCCCTTGGAGACCCTTGGTGAGTGTCCTCTATGGTTAGCGCCATGGCGGGCGCTGTCAGAACCCTACCTCGGAGAGCAGAGGAGGGGAGAGGCCAGCCCTGCTTTGGAGGGTGGACAAGGAATATGGTGGAGGCCCCGCTGTCAGTCTGCAAACCACAGTTTGGGCAGAGAATGTCTGTGTGTCTCCCTTAGCGCTCCTATGGGTCAGGGCAGCGTCCGTGTGGGGATGCTCTAGACTACGTCCAGCAGGTCCCCAGCTGGAGCAAGCGCCTCTGCAGAGGTGAGGCTGCAGGTAGATCGCCAGCCCCCAAGGAGCAGCGGAGAGGAAATGTCTGCCTGAACCAAGTGCAGGGAGGAACCTTCGGGGGGGATGACGGGGTGGGAGGAGATGGGAAGAATTGAAAAAAGGTCCCCATAGAGAGAGTCAGCTTTAAACTCCACAGAGAGCATGCAGGCAGCTGCCCTCGCAGTGCCAGCCAGGAAGGCTCTTCCTGCCTCCCATCCTCCCCCTCCCCCGCCCAGAGGGGAGGGGCTGCAGCCTTGAATGAGCTCTGACCTTTGCATGGAGTGGACCTTCTGATCGGCATTTGCAGACTGTGTTTTGTGATTAATGAGACGGAAATCTTTTTGATTACCTAGGAGTGATGGACAGTGGGCTACAGTGTTCACCCCGGGCAGGGGAAGGGCCCCCATTGGATAAAGAGTGAGGGACAAACACCATGGGACTCATGATCTCATCCCACGAGTCCTTTCTTGGCCTTCAAACCATCTTCCCTGTCAAGGATGAGGCCTGCCGGGCTTCAAGAACATTCCTCTCCACCCATCTCAGAGGACCAACTCCAAAAGCCGAAGCTGCTTGGAAGCGTGGCCCTGCTTGGCCCGGCGTGGGGTTCCCACGCGTGGGGCCCCGAGGAAGGCTGTGGCTTCCCACGTGGCTGCGGTGAGCACCGTCCTTAGGAAGGAAAGACACTCCTGCCTGGGACAGGTCCCCACTCCCCATTGCTGGTGAAATCCTGTCCAGAATTCTTCTGCGTTTCTTGTCGAGCACACGCCCACCACCAAGCGCCTGTGGGGTCTGCATGTCAGCCCAGGGGAGGGGACGCGAAGGAAATGCCAGCAGGAGCTCCGGGCTGGGCTAGCCGTGTCCTCAGGGCCCGGGCAGCTCTCGGTGACTCTGGTGGCCCCGAGTCCGGGGCTATTTCTGGTCGGTGCCTAGACGTCCGAGCTCCTCCCCATCACCGTGTGGACAGGACAGCGGCGTCATGCCTGTTCCGTGCAGACACGTGTGACAGGAGGGTCGCAGGACTGGATGCTGGATTATATGCTGAACTCCTCAGGGCTTGTCCTCCAAAGGTGAGGGTGAGCCTGTCGCTGCTGCTGCACACTGAGTGCTGCTGGCGGCAAACGGGACCCTGAGGGTGAGCCTGTCGCTGGGCAGCGTCTGCGGGAGGATGCGCTGACGGGACAGGAAGGAGAAGCTAGAAGGGAGGCACAAGGTCCTCTCCCCTGGGAGGCTGGCAGACGGCCATGGAGGCAGCGGGACATCCAGGCGTCAAGCTGAGAACACCCCAGTTGTCCCAGGAGCCAGTGTCCCCCACATTCCCGCCTCACTCTGAGATGAGCACAACCCCACGCGCACCCTTTCCTGCAGCAGATCAGCCGGGAACCCAGCCCTGGGGTCACCCTCACCTGTGGTTCCTTCTGGGATCTCCGCGCGGGGCTGAGCGGCTGCTTGCTTGCCGGGGCCTCCCTCATCCACTAGGGGCGCTGTCACGTCTGGAAACCACTGAAAATCACCTTTGGGGGGCCCGGGATGAGCCGCGCCAAGCCCCTCACCTTGCTTCGTGTGCGGCAGCAGGGCAGGGAGGGGAGGCAGGAGGGAACTCAGCCGCATGCAAAAAAGCCACACCACAAAGCAGGTCCAGAGCCACCCTGTCTGACATCTCCCGGGAAGCACATTAATATTCTGCTTGAGTGGCACCGGCCCATGAGACGCCCAGGCCCTCTGCCAGGAAAGCCAGGGACGGCCCTGTGTAGGCACGCAGTGCAAGAGACTGCTGGGGACGGTCCCAGGGAGAGGTGAAGAAGAGATGTTGAAAATCAGATGACTGTTCACAGATGTCTGATCCTTAAGGTGGTGCAGGAGAGGAACTGGGACTAAGGCAGGGCAGGAACTCCGGGGTTAGGGATGGGGTCTACGGCTTTGCTGTGAGTCCTTTGTCCTCGTTGGGCCTCAGTTTCCTCATCTGCAAAATGGGAGTATCAACTCCAGGTGGCCTCCAAGGTTTCCTCCAGCTGGCCCTGTCCCCGAGCCCATGACCCCTGGTTAAGGAGCACAGAGTCCCCTGGGTAGTGAGGAGCAGGCCTTTGCTGTCCGGGGTCAGGTGCTTGACCACAGGACTGGGGCGGGGCCACCTTCAGAGCAGAGTCTGGAGGTGGAGACCCCCCACCAGGAGTTGCTGTTGGTCCCTCACTAAGGTGAAGGCTTCCAATCGGCATTGGTCCCCGAGCAATGCCCTGGCACACTCCCAGGCGGTTCTGGGTGAACATAAGGAGTTGTCAGTGCGGGAAGCTGTCCAAGGGCCTGATCAGTTTAGACAACTGGAGTCCATTTTAATTACGGTCTCGGGAGCAGGCGGAGCAGCCCGGCCCAGCACGGTTACCCCTTCCCTGCCGGGTGGGAGCTGAGCTCTTGGGACCCACACATGCACAGGGTCCCCAGAGCAGTGAGACTTGTTGGAAGATTCTTCCAGAACACCGTTGACGGGATACTGAAAACCATGATGTGGAAGGCTGGCCTGGGTTCTGGCATTAGCGTTTCAGGACTTTCTCAGGGAGGTAGGCAACTTGTGCAACTGTCCTAACAAGATCAGCAGGATGTGTCTTGCATCACTGGCTCTAAGGAGAGGAAAGAGCATTTGGCCTGGTATTCTCTTCCCTGGGCTGAGAACCTGGGGTGGGGGAAGGGCCATGCCCACTGTGTCCTCCACGGATGCACCCTTAGACCAAGCAGTTGGCAGGCACTTGACAGCCACTTTCAGAATTCATCCAAGGTGGCTGCTGGGGCCAGGTTCGCATCCTGTGACACACGGGTGCAGTAATGGGCAGGGCCCGGAGCAGTGCTGAGAACAGAACCTGGAGCCTCCTTGGGGAGGATGAAGAGATGAAGGTGCAGATACCACGGACGGGTTGCTCGGAAGCCATTCTCAAGTCCCTTGTCTCTTGATTTCTCCCACTGAAGAGGCTGTAAAGCAAAACACCTGGTGGCCCAGTCTCCCTTCCAGCCAGGGGTGGGCCGTGAGACTCGGTTCTGACAAATGAGACACAAGCAGAAGCTGGCCAGGTGGGGCTTGCAGAAAACCTCGTGTTTTCCTAATTAAAAGAGAACACTTTGGATGCCAGGGCTCTTTTGGCCACTTTGCTTTGCTACTTTCTTTCTGTTTCGAAGGCAGTTGTGATGCCTGGAAGTGCAGCAGCCATATCGTAACCATGAGGCAATATAACCGTACAGGATGGGAGAAGGTAAAGACGGCGGAACACTGATGAGACCGGGGACTGCCCAAATCTGGGTATCTTATCATGTGAGACAAATAAACCTCTTCAGATATATGCCTCCGTTCCTTGGGTTTTCCTTGACCTGCAATCAAATTCAGTCTCGACTGACATAGATGGGAAGCAAGAGAAGGGGGTCAAAATCGGGACCAAGGAGCACCCCAGGAAATACATGAGGAGCTTTATAATAACCTGGACAGCAAATGTCTAGAGAGAACAGGTCGGAAGATGGGCTGGAACTAACACGGTGGCCAATGTCCAGAGGCCCAGCCAAGCCCTTTGCTCAAACCCAGGACACTAAACCAAGACCAGCCCCAAAGTGTGAGCTCGGAGCCAGGCGTTGACTTGCTCCTCTCCTCAGCCACACGGCTGCTCTGGGACCTGGTGGCTCATGAGAGAGTGAGCTGGGTGGGGCTTTTGCAGAAGTTTGGGGAGGTCAATGGATATGAAGCAGGGGCTTTGAGGAGTTGCTTTGCCACAGACCCCAGTCTCTGCACGTGTGGCTGCCTCAAAGCACCCACGCGATGAAGGTGCCCATACCTGGCACCAGCGAGCAAGGCATCAAAGCAGGGCTTGGCTCCGCCAGCATTCCTGAGCCAAGCCTGAGCCATCCTGCAAAGCACTGAGCGAGCGTATCTCAGCCAGAGGGAGAGGCAACAGCAATGCAGCCAGGAAGGGTGGCACACATGGGCGCAAAGCACGGCGACACGCAGGCTGGTGCATGGGAGGAGCTGGCTGGATGGAGCAATGAGAGGAAGGAGGCCCCACCTTTGGCTGTCGGAGTGCTCTTAGCATCAGCGGTTTCAGATCTGTCACCGGTGGGGGTCCGCAGGGGAGGCTCTGGAACATACACAGTGAGTCCCTCAGAATGGCCACCACTCCCACCCCCCCTTTGGATCTCAGGAGGAACTCAGGAGCAGTTTGTTTCGAAGCCAGAAGTCACTCAGTATGGAAGCCAGAGGGATGGACCGTAGTCGCATGATAAAACCACAAAGAGGCCCAACTCCCTACTTCCCCTCCCCCCAAACACAATGGTGCCCACACCAGGGTCATTGGGCATAGACACAGGTGAGAAGTAGTTGGTCTTGGCGAGAGGAGACAGTGCCTTTTCATCAGCTTGTGGTTCCAGCTGAGACAGGGCTCTCCTGACAAATGGCGGCAGATACCAAAAAGCTACGCCCCGAGGACCTGGGGCCTCATCTTTCCTTGCCGGGGAGACTCATGGGAGATCACTGCCATTAACAAGGGGCAAGCAGAAAACACCTGGAAAACACTCAGCGCTCCAACTCCTTCCTCTGAAAAGGAAGTAGCTCAGGGCAGACCCAGTGCCCGCTTCTAACTGGACAACCGGTGCCTGGACTCCTGCCGGCTCCTCTCATGGAAGGGTTTCTAAGTACGGGCTAACCAGCCTTGAGTGACACCTGGAGTGTCAGCCTTAGTTACTTGGAAGAAAACTGTCCTTTCAGAACCGGAAGCCAGGAAGCTCTGGCGCCCTCTGGGAGAGCCACTCCACCCAGGGTGGGGGCAGCCGTGGGGTCGGTTTCATGATAGGGGGCTGGTTCTGTGCACGAAACGGATGAAAAAAGGCAAGTGGAGTCCTAGGGCACCGTGGGGTCAGACACCCCGGACCCTTTGCTAAAACGCCGTCCCGGGACACCAGCCCTGGCTGCGCCCATCCAGTCAAAGAAGCGCTAATTCTAAACAAGCCGCCAGCAGATGTAGTTCCCTGGTCCCGGAGCTTGCAAAAACCTGCAAACGTCATGCAGACTGTCTGCGGAGTCTTATTACTAACCAGCCTTGACTGGCAGGGCGCTGGCACATATGGGCATGACCAGGTCCCAAACACCCCTGCCCCCAATCTGTCCTCAGCCTGCAACCCTTATCATCTGCGTTATCTTTGTTAAATTTCTTGGAGGTGGGAAGGAAGGGGAAGGGCTTCTTCCGAGTATCTTATCTAGAAGGTATAACCACTTAACCCATTAAACACCTTTTCATTCATTAGGATGTCTTATTTGATCCGTCAGCCAACTTGCACCCTTTGCAGCTCTCTTTGGCTGCACCTAGTCCTTTCCCAATGGTTAGCACCTACTTAGATAACGCTCTGCCTAGTATTTTACATGTGGTTTCCTGTCATTATCTAAAGTGTCGCAGGTCAAGTGGCACCTCTGCCAAGGGGCACCCCTTGCTCCCCATATAAAAACAACTCGTTCTAAGTCCTTAGCAGCAAGAACAAGCCCGATGAGAACTATGGAAATCTTTCAGGTATTACTGCTTCCTTGGCAAGTATATTCTCCGGGTAAGCAAACTACCTCCAAATGCTTTCCTTTCCCAGCAGGGACAAAAAGGTTGGCCCCTTAAAACTCGCATATAAGTTGACCCTTAGACAACACGATTTGAACTGGGTGGGTGCACTCACATGTGGCTTTGTTTCAGTAAATACTGTAAATATATGTTCTCTCCCTTATGATTTCCTCAATAACATTTTCTTTTCTCCAGCTTCCTTTTATTGAAAGAATACAGCATGTAACATAGAATATAAAACAGGTGTTAATCGACTATTTATGTTATCAGTAAGGCTTATGGTCAAACAGTAGGCTGTCAGTAGTTAAGTTTTTTTGGGGGGGGGTCAAAAGTTATATATGTATTTTTGATGACTTGGGGGGTTGGCACCCCAAACTCCCAAGTTGTTCAAGGGTCAGTTGTATATATATATTATAATATGTCTGTTTGGGCCTAGAACTTCTGATCATGTTTCATGTGAAAGAATGGAGTAGTTTTAGCGAATATTCTTTAGGCAACTCTGAGACACAAAATAACTCAGCTGATTCTTACTGTACAAATTGAATTTAGTTTTCCCTTTAAACAATAAGACTGGTGAAAACCGCTTTTTTTTCTGGACTTAAAAAAAATGAGCTTTTTATTTGAGAACAGTTTTAGATTCACAGTAAAATTGCAAAGATAGGACAGAGAGTGTACCCCAAACCCAGTTTCCCCATTATTCACATCCTTCATTATTATGGTACATTTGTTGCAACATAATCTGTATTTTTCACTTAATTTTTAAACCAGGCAACCCTAAATAGAGCATCATTTTTCATTGGCAGAATTCATCTGGGGCAAAATTCAGCATGTTGTGATTCTAAGTTGGATTCCATCCGTGAGCGTTTAATAAAGAGTTTAATAACTGAAGTTCCATGGGGACCTGGCAGAGAGTGACGAGAGGCGTGCGGGGCGGGGGCTGGAGGGCACGTGTGGGCTCAGGTCCTCAGACGAGGGAGCGCTTAGGGCCCAGCAGCGCTCCACAAAGAGCTGAAACTTAGCAACTAGGGCTGGAGCCAGGCTGTGGCCTGCGGGGAGGTCAGAATGCACATTTCTTGTTACCATGACACCAGGTAGGGAGTTCAAGGGGCCATTGGGAACCCATCCCCCAACCCCACCCGCATCCCTCCTCTCCCATCACTCTTTCTGGCTGGGCAGCCTCTGAGCCCAGGGACAGCAGGCCCACTCTGCCTCCACTTCCTCCAACCTGGAGCCCACGTGTCTAATTTCCAAGCTCCTGTGACTCCAATGTGTTCTCTGCTTAAACACATACAGAGAGGCCAGCCTTTGAAATAAGGCCCCCAGTGAGTCCGGAAACCTTTCCAAGACAGAGACTGTTGTTCCTGTACCCAGGGCACCTCCTGGCGACCTGCCTCCTCCAGGGAGCCCTCCTGGATAGATGCACCCAGGAAAGGTCGTTTCCCACCTAGGAGCTGCACCGCTTCTATTCACCATCCCACACCCCAGGCTGCAAAGTGTTTTTAAAATTATTTTTACCACTAAAAGAGGAAGTAGACTGCTTGCCATTTTGTCTCCTTAGGAGTAGGTCTGGAGGGCAGGGGCAGGGTCCTCCTCACACTGAGGCCAGCTCGGTGCTCCTGGCGGGAATCGGGCCAGCATGTGGAGCGGAAGAGAGGCTGCGCAATTCCTGAATTTGGTGGCCAGACAGTGAAATGAAACATATTTGTTTGGAATGGGACAGGAGGAGGCCAAGCTGATTTGCCCAAAAGACTGTATTTTAGAATATGCAGAAGTGGATGCAGTTTATTAATGTAGGTATAGTAGGAATCCCAGCGCTAACTAACGTGCCGAATAGGGCCCAGACAGGCCTGCGAGGGAGAGATGAAGCTAATGTGTAGGGCCACGTATTTTGCATGCTAATGAGTGCTGCTGATTTATAGGTCAACAGGTTGGGTGTGGCTAAAGACTCGAGAGAGCACCCTGTACTGATCAGACTGACTCGCCCTGCAGTCTTTGTCACACGGCATCCACTCGGGTGGCACACTCCCCTTTGGAAAGGTACATTTTCAAAGAGCGTCACATCTGGGTTATCTTGGCTCATTCAAATGATGAGGCGTCTCTCTCTTGACAATCTAACCCAATAAAGTGTTTAAAACTTCTTTAAGAAACTGGCTGCAAACCCTTCCTGCCAGCCTTTTCCAAAGCCAGCGGACCGGCTGTGAGTCCCGAGGCCCGGGCTGCCGTGCAGGGGGTGCACTAACCTTTCAGGCCGTGGTGCCCGTCACCCTCGTGGTCCTGCAGCAGCGTGTAGCTCCCCTGAGAGGGGAGATCTTTCCTGTCCCCAAGCCCGTAGGTCCCGGCATGATCGTCCATCATGTTGAACTCCTGGCGGGGCTCAGTCATCCTGGTTCAAGGCCCACCTGGGGAAGGAAGATGGGAGGTTGAGGCTGGGATGTTGAGATGAGGCTAAGTGCTCGGGGGGTGGTGTGTGTGTGTGTGTGTGGAGTGGGGGTCAGGGAGAGGAAAGTGCCACCTCCCTAGTTCATGGCAGACATATCCTCCCCTCCCCACTGACCTCCCCAGCAACCTCAGCCTGCGCTTTGCATCCCTGCCAAAGTGTTATTTACATGTATGTGCACCTTTAATTCACAAACATCACATCAGTTCATGTTTGAAACACCAGGTGGACAGGTGCAGCGAGCCTGACTTGTTATGCCAGCACTCGTTCAACTTCAGTAAGAAGTAAATGCTGCTGACTAGTTTAATGTTTTGTTGTTTGTTTGTTTGTTTTTTTATGCAGAGGGTAGGACCAAACAGGAGAAGGAAGGCATCAGCAGACACCCCTGGTAAGGACACTGAAGTAGAGAAAAGCACATGTTGTTCAACCTCATGCAACTCACTGCACAGCAGAACCACCTCTTGACCCGTGTCCTGACTCTCCCAGTTCCGAGTTGGGTAGCCCCCGGCCCTGCCAGGAGGTCAAAGCTGTGGCCTCCACTCCCCTCACTGGCACCCACCAGGACCTCAGCTGTGCATTCTGAGGGCGGGCAGGGAATCTCTAACAGCGCCCGGAGCGGGTGTGAGGCTCGGAGCAGCATGCACCCCCTTCCCGGCAAAAGCCCAACAGAGCGCGGTAGAAATGATATTTACTCAGGCGCTGTTCTCATCTTCAGTGAGAATATTTCTTTATTTAAAAACTAGCTCATAGCTTTGAGTTTCTGGACTTTTCAATATGCCACTTTGCCCTGGTTCATTTATGCTACTTTGGGTTATTCCATCAGTTTCCATTTTTATCTCTGGAAGTTTTTAGTCTCTTGTCTTTTACTTTGATACCTCCCTTTATATAACCTAATTATCTCATAGTACTTATTCTTTACTTATTTTTGAAACTCCCCTGTCTTACTGGCTTTCAATTCCTCCCTTTAAACTTCTACATGTAGTTGCTTCCCTTTATTGTTTAAATTATTTTTACTTTTAATTTTCACCCCAGATTTATATTAGCTTTTCATTTATTAATGTTTTTATTTTTGAGATAATTTTAGACTTACAGGAGAGTTGTAAAAGTAACCCCTCGTGTCATTTAGTAATTTTTAACCTTTTGAAATTCCTTTTGAATATATTTCTCTATGTTACCTTTTATCATTCTATCCCTTTAGGCTGCTTTTTTCTTTCATTCTTTCCTTTTTATATTTGTGACTTTTATAATTTTTCATAATCTAAATGTAGTCTTTAATTTTCCTTTATAATTTGTAACAGCTATCTCCTTATATTTCTGTTTTCACTTGAACTTTTCTCAGTGACACACGGGCGCTGCCAAAGTGGGTCAGTTGTCCAGGGAAGAGCTGATAACACAAACTGGAGTGGGCGGGGCCTTTTTCTTTCCTGCCTCGGAGGCATCTAGCTCTCAGTTTCGGTGATCAATGAATAACGTCTCCATGGGAAAGGGCTGGAGGACACACCTGATGACACGCGTCCTCTAAATGAGTTATGAGTTGCAGAATGTTTTAAACCCACAGTCTCATCTCCACGGGCGTTGGGCAACTCATACAAATGGTGAACTACAAGGTGGAGGGTGCACCTGGGGCAGACCCTCCATCTAATTTTTCCAAGACTGGCGTTAGCGGTGGGACAGCCAGCTTCCGGCTCTGTGTTTATACCAGCTGGCCACTGGCACACTCATGTCCAGCTTCATTCCTCTCCCTTCTGGGCAGGACACGCCGGTGTGGGTGCCTGAGCTCTCTTCTCCATCCACGATGCAGGATAAGAAGCTGAGAGCTGGGATGGTCTAGGAAGATTTTAAGAGTGAGGTCAAAACTGATGAACTGAGTGAACCCAGAGACAGAGAAGCATGGAACAGAATGCGGAATCTCAGAGGGAAGGCGGAGGAAGGTGGGAGGGTGGGAGGTAATCAACCAAAGACCTTGTATGCATATATGCATAACCCATGGGCACAGACAATAGGGTGCTGAAGGCCTGAGGTGGGGGGCGGGGGGCGGGAGGAGGTCAATGGGGAAAAAAGGGGACATATGTGATACTTTCAACAATAAAGAATTATTTAAAAAACCCCAAAGAGTGAGGTTAGCAGGACCTCTGCTGGGCGAGGCAGAAGGTGGTGGCCTGGCCCCACGGAGGCAGCTCCTGCTCATAGAGAAGGGGGCGCCTTTTCATTCTGACTGAGGCCTGAGGCCCTTGCCCCTCAGAGCTCTCTGGGGAAAGGCATCTGAGACTGAGCTTCTCCAAACCTTGGACATCTCCCCAAGGACGAGCAAGACTCTATTTTAGGAAGATAAAAGTCCAAATTCATCCTTTAAGGTTTAGGATTTGGTGGTGATGTTCTCTACCCTTAGATATGCTGATGGTCTGTTTCCCTTGAAAGCCCCCAAACGTAAGAACCCCTCTTCTGAAAGGCACCAGTTCCATTGTCTGAGGACTCAGCTACGGCTTCCCACCCCTGTAGGAAGCAACGCCTTCCTCACTGCTTCCTGATGGAGCCTCTCTGAGGCCCTCCTGGGTTCACTGCCCAACTGCTCATCCCTGGGACTGGTCCACAAGCCACCTCATCTGGCTGACTTCTCAGGTGCCCCACCCTGGAGGGGTGGAATCGGCCCAGAAGCTTGAGGCTTCCCAAACTTGCCGGAGACACTCTACCTGGCCCAGGTGAGGTAGGCCAGCCAACTGAAGTTTTAGTGAACGCTCAGAAGTTTAAGGAGCCCCATGGTTTTGTCTTGTGACTGGATTGATTCCTTTCAATGACCAAGTCTGCCCTCCTGGAACATGGCGGATGAAGGTGTAAAAGTAAGGATCTGACGAGTTGGCTTCCTCTTTCATAAAATGCCCATTTCTATCCTTTGCTCCCTCCTCTGTTCAAGTCTCGGTGCTCGTTGTAATGACTTGAGTGAGCTCTTATTTTATGAATAACATTAACCTTTTATCCTATTTGTGACAGATCGTTTCTTTAGTTGGTTGCCTTTTATCTTGGTTTCTTATGGCTCCTGATGGGCAGGTTTTAGTTTGTATACAGTCAGGTCTATTTTCTTCTGTGACTTATCCCATTGCTCTATGATACATAAAGATCAATATTTTCTGCTATGTTTTTAGTGATCTAATTCTTTGTATTAAGTTTAACTGCAGTGGGAAAGCAGACATCCAATGGCACATATATGAATGAGCTGTGCTCCAATTAAACTTTATACATGGACACATGATTTTGAAAGGCATATAATTTTCATGTGTCATGAACTTTCATTTTTCTGTCTCCCTCTCCCCCCAACCATTTGAAAAATGTAAATTCTCAGTGTGGCTGTTGCATTTGATGTTGGGTTTTGTTCATCTGCGTCTAGTGTTTCTAGTGTTTTCCATAAGGTTTCAAGTTATTCCTGGAGCTTCAGGCAGCAGCCCATTGCTCTGGGCCTGGGGACATGCTGCCTCGTTTGGGTCCACAGAGCAGATAAGAGGGTGGTTGTTCTCGGGGCCCTGGCTTCTGATGACCTCCCCCTCCCACCAGCGCCACCCCGCAGGGCTGGAGAAAGTCAGATGCGCCAATAGGAAGCTGGATGAATTATAAGGGCTGCTGGAGAGATTAAATCATCCTTAAAAACACAGGCAGCTATTCACTATGCAAAATAAATGAACTGTGTGCTTTGCAAGGGCCAATATTTTCCTTTGGAAAAAAAGTGAAATGCATGGGAAGAACTCCTTAAGCAGGGAGGCTCACCATGCCACCCTCCTGCCAACCCCGGGCAGCAATGCCCTTAGGTTCATGGACCTTCTGAATCAACAAGGCCGCAGCCCCGGAGCCTGGTACCCAGTTGGTGCCACACGGTTCCTGTCAAAGAAGGAGCTTGCTCCGTGTGGGCACCTCACAGGCGTGTCACTGGACACACAGCAATCCTGTGATGTAGCTAGTCTTCAGCATAGATATTAAGATTCCCAGTGGAGAGATGAGGAATCTGGGAAGGTCACACAGCCCAAGGTCACACAGCCAGCAGGAGACGAGTCCAGGATGCAAAGCCCGTGTCCTGATAGAACACGCACAGCCTGCTCTTCCATCCTGGACCATAAAATGTTCCCCAACTTCCTGTCGGGCACAGGGCTGGGTGTAGAAGGAGCATTGTCCAGGACTCTCACCCTGAAGCTGCATGAACAAGTCACTTCTCTCAACCTTCTTCATCCACAAAATGCCACTCTTGGAAAGCCCCCAAACATAAGATCCCCTCTCCTGAAAGGCACCTGTTCCATTATCGGGGACCTCTGAGCTCCCTCTTCGCGCTGGCAATTTGTTCTAAGTGGGACCGCTGGGCCTGTCCCCTCCAGCTCTGGAGCCCGAGGTCATTCACAGGACAGCAGGAGGTCTCTAGCCCAGGCCTGGGGGAGAGGCAGGAGCCCTGGCATCTCAGTCCTCCTCCTTCTTCCTCTCCTCCTCCCCCTCCACCCTGACCCCTGCCATCTTCCTCCTTGAGAACCAGGGCAAGATGATTTCTCTGAAATAACTGGACAAAGAACATGTAAACCAACTGACCACTGGCACAGCGCAACCCCGGCCCGAAGACTTTCATGCAAAGACGGCAGGCGAAAAAACAGACCAGATGTGGTCATCACCTCCCAGACCCCTATAATCTAACGGAGACACACAGACGGGAAAATAAACACACCAAGAGACGTCTTCCTCTGTTTTCTTATTCTTCTAATCAACCAATCTCTCCACCCCCCCTTTTCCCTGTCCCTCTCCCCTTCTCTCCGATTTCCTACCTCCTGCTCCCCAGGCAGTGACTTAGAGCCGCAGGGTGGGAGGTAGGGAAGGAATTTCAGGAGAGGCACAAAAGTTGAGCTAAACCTGGAAACTAAAAGGAGCCACTTTTTAGGGGCCCTGGGAAAAGGACTGCATCCTGACAAGAGAAAACGTGAACCAGAGGCTGCTGGA